AATGGGGATGGGGTGGCCCCAAAGGACATTCGGGACAATGAGGATATGGTGACCCCAAAGGGCATTGGGAACAATGGGGATGCGGTGGCCCCAAAGGACACTGGGGACAATGAGGATGTGGTGACCCCAAAGGGCATTGGGAACAACGGGGATGCGGTGGCCCCAAAGGACATTGGGGACAATGAGGATGTGGTGACCCCAAAGGGCACTGGGAACAATAGGGATGTGGTGACCCCAAAGGACATTGGGGACAATGAGGATGCGGTGGCCCCAAAGGACAATGGGGATGTCGTGGCCCCAAAGGACATTGGGGACAGGGAGGCTCCGGACATTGGGGCCGAGGCCATTGGGGACCTCCCATCAATGGGGGACATTGGGGACATCCCTGCCTTTGGGGCTGGGGATGACGTCAGCGATGACGTCACAGGCTGGGGGGGCACCCTTGGGGGCACGTGCGTGGCCGGCGGCATCACCATCACGGTGGTGGCGCCCCCCCCGGAGGATGAGGATGTACCCGATGATGATGTCATCATCGATGATGATGTCACTTCCTCCGCCCCTGAGGAGCCCTTCGTGGGTGATGTCATTGCCCAGAGTGACGTCACTTCCTCCCTGCCCGGAAGTGATGCCGCAGATGACGTCATCGCGGGGGCCGACACCATTTCCGAGCTTCCTGGGGAGGAGCTTGCCGGCGGTGACGTCACTCACGGTGATGACGTCACTGATGACGTCATAGCCACACACAACCCCGTTGCCCTCTCCAGGGATACCCGCGCTGATGATGTCATCGATGACGTCACTGCAGAGGAAGACACGGCCAGTTTTGTACCTAGAGACGCCCCTGCTGATGACATCATCACCGATGATGATGTCATTGTCAACGATGATGATGTCATCACCGGTGATGTCACTTCCTCCTTGCCAGGAGACGGTGACCTCACTGGTGACACTATCTGCACCAATGAGCACGCCCCTTCCGCTTGGGATGACATCGCCGATGATGTCACGCCTGAGGATGACATCACTTCCCCCATCCCCATTGGCTGTGCTGGTCATGACGTCACTCCCGAGGGTGACATCACGCCAGGGGACCCCATGCCTGAAGACACCACCCCCCAGGACGATGATGTCACTGATGACATCACCACCGAGGCCCCCAGAGGGGATGCCCCAGGTAAAGGGGAGGGGCTATGGGGAGAGGGGGCGTGGTCTAACGCTAGACCACGCCCCCTCCCGTGTTGCCTGTGTCCCCCTACAGGCCCCCCCCAGGCGCAGACGCCCTCCCCCGGCTGCCCCCTCGTGTTCTTGGCCCTCGTCTGCCTCCTGCTGGCCCTGCTGCTGCTCGCAGGGGTCTTTGCGGTGCGGGGGGGGGTCCCCAATGAGCCCCCATTTGCTGGGTCCTTTGGGGGGGGTCCCCAAATCCCGTGGGGGGGAGGGGAAAGGGGAGGGGGGAGTGTTCCCATTCATGATCCCCAATGGGTCCCCATCAACTTGGGGTCCGGGAGGGGGGGGGGTTCCCCAATGGATCCCCAACCCTTGGGTCCCCATGGGAGGTCCTGGTGGGGGGGGGTGGTCCCTGTTAGCCCCCCCCCCGCAACGCTCTTATTGCCCCCCCTTCCCCCCCCAGGCCGTGCATTACATCCGGGTCTTCCTCATCAGCTCCGCCCCCATCGGCGAATCCTTCCCATGAATGGGATGAGAATGGGGGGGGGGGGGTGTGGGGGAGGTGCCTCCCCCTCTCCCCTTTCCCCAACAATAAATCCCAACCCCCCCCCTTCCCCGTGCCCCATTTGGCGAGCCCGGGCTTGCCCCAGCGCTGGGGCCGGACAAAGGCACAATGGGGGGGGGGGAGGGACCGAGCCATTGGGGACAATGGGGGGGGGGGCATTGGGTTGGTCCTGGCTCTATAAAAGGGGGGATGAGGCCATTGGGGGGGGGGGGGTCCGGTAGAGCCATGGGGGTGATGGGGACGCTCGTGGTGATCCTGGGGATGCTGCTGCTGATGGGGGGTGAGGGGGCAGTGGGGGGGTTTGGGGGGGCATTGGGGTAAGGGGGAGATGGGAGAAGATGGGGGCAAAGGGATGTGGGGGGACATTGGGGTAGGGGGGAGATGGGGGGAGATGGGGGCTAAGGGATGTGGGGGGAGCATTGGGGTAAGGGGGAGATGGGGGAAGATGGGGGCAAAGGGATGTGGGGGGGGACTTTGGGGTAAGGGGGACATGGGGGGAATGGGAGCAAAGGGATGTGGAGGGATATGGGGGGATATGGGATACAGGGATGGGGATGGGACATGGGGGGGGGGGGTGAAGGGCTGTAGGGGACCCAATGGGATCCAAAGGGACTCAATGGGACCCATTGGGACCTAAAGGGACCTGAAGGGACTCAAAGGGACCCAATGGGACCTGAAGGGACTTAAAGGAGCCCAATGGGACCTGAAGGGACTCAAAGGGACCCAATGAGACCTAAAGGGACCCAATGGGACCTAAAGGGACCTGAAGGGACTCAATGGGACCTGAAGGGATTCAATGGGACCTGAAGGGACTCAAAGGAGCCCAATGGGACCTGAAGGGACTCAAGGGGACCAATTGGGACCTAAATGGGACCCGAAGCGGCCTCACGGGTACCGGTTCCCCCCCGCAGGCCCCGCGGCTCCGGTCCCTGCCCCGCAGCACCCCTGGGGCCAGGCCCTGGCCTCGCTGCTGCGGCTCCTGAACCTGCTCCCGAGCGCCCCCTTCGGGACAGCGGCGGCAACAGCGGGCGGCGGCGGAACCGCGGGTCCCCCCCGGCAAGGGCTGCGGGCACCGGGGATGGGGACACGGGGACAAGGGGCAGGGATACGGGGACAAGGGGAATGGATACAGGGAGCAGGGAGAGGGATACAGGGACAAGGGGGAGGGATGCAGGGAGCAGGGGCAGGGACGCAGGGAGCAGGGGAATGGATGCAGGGAGCAGGGAGAGGGGTGCAGGGAGCAGGGGTACAGGGACAAGGGGAATGGATACAGGGGCAAGGGAGTGGGACACAGGGAGCAGGGAGAGGGATGCAGGGACAAGGGGAATGGATACAGGGACAAGGGAGAGGGACACAGGGAACAGGGACAGGGACACAGGGACAAGGGATAGGGGCACAGGGACAAGGGGAACGTCCCCAAGGAGCAGGGATATGGACACAGGGACAAGGGACAGGGACAAGGGGGCAAGGGGAGCGGATGCAGGGAGCAGGGACATGGACAGGGGGAGAAGGGGAACGGATGCAGGGACAAGGAGAATGGACACAGGGGCAAGGGGAATGGATGCAGGGAGCAGGGACATGGATGCAGGGAGCAGGGATGCAGGGACAAGGGGAATGGATGCAGGGACCAGGGAGAGGGATGCAGGGAGCAGGGACAGGGATGCAGGGACAAGGGACAGGGATGCAGGGAGCAGGGACATGGACACGGGGAGAAGGGGAATGGATGCAGGGAGCAGGGACAGGGATGCAGGGAGCAGGGACAGGGACACAGAGACAAGGGGAATGGATGCAGGGACAAGGGGAACGGATGCAGGCAGCACGGACCTGGATTCAGGGACAAGCGGACCCAGCCCAAGGACCAGGAGCGCGGCTCCAGGCACTGGGACCGCATCCACAGGGACAAGGGGCACGGATCCCGGCCCAAGGGCCATGGACACAGGGACAAGGGGAACGGATCCCAGCCCAAGGGCCATGGACACAGGGACAAGGGGAACGTCCCCAAGGGCCCCTCCAAGGCCCCCAGGCCCAGGGGGGGCTGCGGAGCTCCAGTGAGAACCGGAGCCGGATGAGGGCGATGCCACCGGAGCCTGGGGACATCGGGAGTCAGGACGGGTCCAGGGACACCGAGGACAGCGGGAGCAGAGGTACCAGGATGTGGGAATGGGGTAATGGGATAATGGGGAATGGGATATGGGGTATATGGGGTATGGGATATATGGGGTATGGGATATGGGATATATGCGGTATGGGATATATGGGGTATGGGATATATGGGGTATGGAATATGGGATATGGGGTATGGGATGTGGGGTATGGGATATATGGGATATGGGATATGGGGTATATGGGGTATGGGGTATTGGATGTGGGGGACACAACCCCAGTGTCCAGCTCTGTCCCTCACTGTGTCCCTTCTTCAGGCTGGGGACACTCAGAGGAGCTGCAGGACGTGGCATAGAGCTGTCCCCATGTCCCCCTATGGATCCTGTGTCCCAATGTGCCCATGTCCCAATGGTCCCATATCCCAATGTCCCCATGTCCCCCTATGGATCCTGTGTCCCAATGTCCCCATGTCCCAGTGGTCCCATATCCCAATGTCCCCATATCCCAATGTCCCAATGCCCCCCTATTGATCCTGCATCCCCATGTCCCCCTATTGATCCTGTGTCCCAATGTCCCCATGTCCCAATGTCCTCCTATTGATCCTGCATCCCAATTTCCCCATGTCCCCCTATTGATCCTGTCTCCATATCCCAATGTCCCAATGTCCCCATGTCCCAATGTCCCCATATCCCAATGTCCCAATGCCCCCCTATTGATCCTGCATCCCCATGTCCCCCTATTGATCCTGTGTCCCAATGTCCCCATGTCCCAATGTCCTCCTATTGATCCTGCATCCCAATTTCCCCATGTCCCCCTATTGATCCTGTCTCCATATCCCAATGTCCCAATGTCCCCATGTCCCAATGTCCCCATATCCCAATGTCCCCATGTCCCAATGCCCCCCTATTGATCCTGCCTCCCCATCTCCCTCTATTACCCCCATGTCCCCATCCCATCTCCCCATTAAAGACTGAAGCAGCATCACCCCCATTCCCATCCCTATGTGTGTGTGTGGGGGGGGTCCCCCAACATTAACACCAAGCCTGGGTCTTAAGGAGCCTTTAATAGGGGGCATCCATGGGGTCAATGGGGCCGGGGGGGCGCTGCTGCCTCCTCCCTATGGCTCCATGGGGCTGGTGCCCCATAGCCCCCCCCCTCCCCCCCTTGCTCAGGAGCTGCCCCCTGGCCCCGCCCCCTGGCCCGGGGCTGCCGTGGCCCCGCCTCCTTCCCACTCGGGCAGGGGGGGCCATGGGGCCACGGGGACCACGGGCAGGGGGGGCTCGGGGTCATCGGGCCGGGGGGGGCCCTGCGGCCTCGGGGGGGGGCCGGGCACGGGGGGGGGCGGCTGGGGGGGCGCTGGGGGGCGGCGCTCGGACATGGCTGGGGGGGCAAAGAGAGAGAGGGGTTATGGGGATCCCACCCCCATTGACCCCCCCATTGACCCTCGTTATGGAGACCCCCCCCATTGACCCCCGTTATGGGGATCCCACCCCCATTGATCCTGTTACGGTCATCCCACCCCCCATTGACCCCGTTATGGGGATCCCCCCATTGACCCCCGTTATGGGGACACCCCCCCGATTGACCCTGTTATGGAGGTCCGGGACCAATCCTGCCCCCCCCCTCCCCCATCCCATAGGGCTCCCCCCCACCGGTACCTGGTGTCTATGGCAGCAGCTCCAGCGCAGCACCGGGATCAATGGGAGCACCGGGAACACCGGGAGCAATGGGAGCAGTGGGAGCAATGGGAGCAGTGGGAGCAGTGGGAGCAATGGGAGCAATGGGGGCAATGGGAGCAATGGGAGCAGTGGGAGCAATGGGAGCAATGGGGGCAATGGGAGCAATGGGAGCAATGGGAGCTCTTATGGGCACCAGCAGGGCTGGAACCGGCCGGGCTGGAAGGTCGGGGGGGGGAATGGGACGTGGCAGCAGCTGCCCATGAGTCAGAGCCGCGCCCGGCCCTAGAGATAGAGCTGCCCCATAGACCTGCCCTATAGACTGCCCTATAGACCTGCCCCTATGGAGCTGCCCCATAGACCTGCCCCATAGACCAGCCCTTATAGACCTAACCCCCTATTAAACTGTCCCTTATATAGACCTGAACCTATAGACCCCCTATAGACCTGCCCCTATACACCTAACCCTTACAAACCCGACCCCTTTATAGACCTGCCCCTATTGTCCCCCCTATAGACCTGCCCCTATAGACCTAACCCCTCTTAACCTCTCCCTTATATAGATCTGACCCTATAGACCATCCCCCTATAGACCTGACCCTATAGAAACCGGGTGTGCGTTGGGTTGGGGACACTGGGGGGTGCTGGTGGTGACCCCTGGGTCCCTCCCCAGCTGATCCCAAGGACCCGGGGTCCCAAACAGCCCCCAGAGGGGAGCCTGGGCTCCTGCTTTAAGCCCAGGCAGAGGTCAGGTTGTGGGGCTGGCTATGGGGCAGGCTATGGGTGAGGTTATGGGGCTGGCTATGGGCCAAGGTGTGGGTCAGGCTGTGGGGCGCGGGCAGGGGCACGTTGGGGAGCGGGGGGGGCCCCAGCAGGTCCCGCAGCTCCGGTTCCAGCTTCAGCTCCAGCTCCTGCGGCCCCGTGGGGCTCGCGGTGGGGCCCGCGGTGGGGCCGGGCCCCGGGGGGGCCGCGGTGGGGGGGGGCCGCGTGTTGGGGGCGCTCACGGGCACCGGAGCCGTGGCGGGGACCGGGACCGTGACCGGCACCGGGAGGCTGCGGGCGGCGCCTGCGGACACCAGGGGGCGCTGCTGGGAACGGGGCTCCCAGTGCGATGGGGACCCGCAGCCCCCCATAGAGCCCTATAGAGCCCTATAGCCCCCTATAGCCCAATAGCCCCCCATAGCCCCCTATAGCCCTATAGTCCCCTATAGCCCAATAGCTCCCCGTAGCCCCCCATAGCCCTATAGTCCCCTATAGCCCCCACAGCCCCCCTATAGCCCAATAGCCCCCATAGCCCTATAGCCCCTTATAGCCCCCAAGTCCCTCATAGTTCAATAGCCCCCCATAGCCCCCATAGCCCAATAGTTCCCCATAGCCCCATAGCCCCCCATAGCCTCCCATAGCCCCATAACCCCCCATAGCCCCATAGCCTCCCATAGCCCCCCATAGCCCAATAGCTCCCCATAGCCCCATAGCCCCCCATAACCCCCCCTAGCCCCATAACCCCCCCATAGCCCCATAGCCTCACACCCAGGCGGGACCCACGTGTTGGGCACCCACCGAGCAGGACGAGCAGGAGCCCGAGGGTCCTGAGGGCACCCATGGGTGCTGCTTGTGGGGCCGGGAGCGCCGGGAGCACCGGGAGCACCGGGAGCACCGGTTTTATGGGCAGGGATCCTCCCATCGCTGCTCCCACCCCAGCCGCCTACGGAGGGTGGGGAACCGGGACGGCCGCCGGTGGTATGGGGTCGGACCGGTCCTAATGGGGTCACACTGGGCCTAATGGGGACAGACTGGGACTAATGGGGTCACACTGGGCCTAATGGGGTCACACTGGGCCTAATGGGGCCAGACTGGGACTAATGGGGTCACACTGGTCCTAATGGGGCCAGACTGGTCCTAATGGGGTCAGACTGGGCCTTATAGGGCCAGCCTGGTCCCCAAGTGCCACCAGCCCTATGGGTGCCCTTGGCTCATCTCCCATGTCCTAGTTCCTGATATCCCCATCCCATGGATATCCCATTCCCCATGTCCCCATTGTCCCCAGTGTCCCCATCCCATTCCTGATGTCCCCAACCCCACCCCATGGATACCCCAATCCCCATGCCCCACTGTCCCCATTCCTTCTATGGGGAAGTGATGGTAGAGCGGTAGATGCGGTTTCCCTTGGTTTCAGTGGGTCCTGTGCCCCACAGCATCCCCATAGACAGGCTAAGGAGGAGTGGGTTTGAGGACCAGGGAGTGGGGTGGGTCAGGAACTGGTTGGGAGGAGGCAGAGCTGTGGTCAATGGGACAGGGTCCAGTTGGAGGCCTGTGACCAGTGGAGTGCCCCAAGGGTCGGTACTGGGACCAGTGCTGTTTAATCTATCCATCAATGGTTTAGATGGGGGAACCGAGGGTGCTCTCAGCCAGTTCACTGATGGCACTGAACTGGGAGGAGTGGCGGACGCACCAGAAGGTGTGAACTGGACACACTGGGGAGCTGGGTTGGCTGAACTGGGGCCTTGCATATGGGGCAGAACAACCCCATGGACCAGTACAGGCTGGGGACTGACCCACTGGGAAGGAGCGAAGGGGAAAGGGGGTGCTGGTGGATGATGGGGTGACCATGAGCCCACACGGTGGCCAAGGCGGCCAATGGCATCCTGGGGTGCATTAGAAGGGGGTGGTCAGTAGGTCCCCTCTGCTCTGCCCTGGTGAGACCCCATCTGCGATACTGGGTCCAGTTTAAGGACAGGGAGCTGCTGGAGAGAGTCCAGTGCAGGGAACTGGGATGGTGAAGGGAGAGGAGCATCTCCCTTATGGGGACAGACTGGGGGAGCTGGGTCTCTATGGAGAAGAGGAGATTGAGGGGTGACCTCACCAATGGTTACAGATAACGGGTGGGTGTCAGGATGATGGAGCTGGGGGTTCCCAGTGATGCCCAGTGCTGGGACAAGGGGCAATGGGTGCAAACTGGAGCATAGGCAGAACTTAGCTCCTGTGAGGGTACCAGAGCACTGGACCGGGTTCCCCAGGGGGGCTGTGGGGTCTCCCACATTGGAGATATTCATGGGCACGTTCCTGTGGGATGTACCCCGGGTTACCCTGCTCCTGCAGGGGGCTTGGACCGGATGAGGTCCCTTCCAACCCTTGGGATTCGGGGATTCCCCATGGCCCCATCCCATGGATACCCCCATGGCCCCATCCCATGGATACCCCCATGGCCCCATTCCTATCCCCACTGGCCCCATCCCATTCCTCATGTCCCCATTGTCCCCATCCCCATGTCCCCATTCCCATCCCCATGTCCCCATCCCCATTGTCCCCATCCCCATCCCATTCCCCATGTCCCCATGTCCCCATCCCCATGTCCCCATTCCCATCCCCATGTCCCCATCCCCATGTCCCCATGTCCCCATTCCCATCCCCATGTCCCCATCCCATTCCTCATGTCCCCATTGTCCCCATCCCCATTGTCCCCATCCCCATCCCATCCCCGCGGTGTCCCCATTCCCCCCCCGCTCCCTCCGGTTGATGCCAGTGCCGAGCCCGCTGCTGCCGTGAGCGCCTTTATTGGGATCCATCCCTCGGGATGCGGGGTCCCCCCCCCCGTTCCCGTTCCCGTTACTGGGCGCAGTCCCCGCACCCGTTCTCCTCCCCCCCGCCGCCGCCTCCCGCCCTGGAGCCGCTCCCGGAGCCCGGCCCCCGCTCCCTGCGGACCGGGACGTAGCCGCCGATGCGGGCGGGATCGCGGAGCCCCGGCACGAACGGGACCGAGGGGTTCTTGTACCCGGGCCGGCGGCTGCCGCCATAGGAACCGGAGCCAGAGCCCCCCGAGCCCCCCCCATAGGAGCCGGAGCTGGAGCCCCCCCCATAGGAGCCAGAGCCCCCCCCATAGGAACCAGAGCCCCCCCCATAGGAACCGGAGCCAGAGCCAGAGCCCCCCGATCCCCCCCCATAGGAGCCGGATCCTCCTCCATAGGAGCCGGATGAGGGTCTCCCCCCATAGGAGCCCGATCCTGATCCCCCCCCATAGGAGCCCGATCCCCCCCCATAGGAGCCGGAGCCACCCCCATGGGAGCCCGATCCCGATCCTCCTCCATAAGAGCCGGCTGCAGGTCTCCCCCCATAGGAGCCGGACCCTGATCCCCCCCATAGGAGCCCGATCCCTCTCCCCCCAGAGGAGCCCGATCCTGAGCCAGAGCCCCCCCCATAGGAGCCCGATCCTGATCCCCCCCCATGGGAGCCCGATCCTGATCCCCCTCCATAAGAGCCGGATGAGGGTCTCCCCCCATAGGAGCTGGATCCTGATCCCCCCCCATAGGAGCCCGATCCCCCCCCATAGGATATTGAATCACCCCCATAGGAGCTGGAGTCGCTTCCATAGGAGCTTGATCCAGTCCCATAGGATCCTGATGAGCCCCCATAGGATCCTGGTCTGCCAGAGGATCCCGATCCCGATGAGCCCCCATAGGAGCCTGACCCAGTCCCATGGGATCCCGATGAGCCCCCATAGGAGCTGGATCCACCCCCTTGGGATGAGCCCCCAGAGGATCCCGAAGCATCCCCATAGGACTCCGGGAGCCCATAGGATCCTGAGCTGTCCCCATAGGAGCTGGATCCCCCCCCATAGGATCCCGATCCACCCCCATAGGATCCCGATCCGCCCCCATAGGATCCCGATCCGCTGCCTCCTTGGGATCCGGGTTTTCCAGATCCAATCCCTCCCTGGGATCCCGGTCTTCCCGATCCGGATCCGCTTCCCCCCTGGGATCCAGGGCTTCCCGATCCGGACCCACTGCTCCCATGGGATCCAGGGCTTCCTGATCCAGACCCACTGCTCCCATGGGATCCAGGGCTTCCCGATCCAGACCCACTGCTCCCATGGGATCCAGGGCTTCCCGATCCAGACCCACTGCTCCCATGGGATCCAGGGCTTCCCGATCCAGACCCACTGCTCCCATGGGATCCCGGTCTTCCCGACCCGGATCCACTGCTCCCATGGGATCCCGGTCTCCCCGCTCCGGATCCGCTTCCCCCCTGGGATCCCGGTCTTCCTGATCCCGACCCAGTTCCATAGGATCCCCCACTGGATCCCCCATAGGAGCCGGGTCTCCCGGATCCAGACCCACTTCCCAAAGCCCCAAGTCCGTAGGATCCCGGTCTGCTCCCATGGGATCCTGCCTTGTTCCCGGAGGATCCCGACGAGCTTCCGGCTCCTTGGGATGCTCCGGATCCGCCTCCATAGGATCCGGATCCACCTCCATAAGATCCTGCATCACTCCCATAGGATCCTGCATCACTTCCATAGGATCCTGCATCACCTCCATAGGATCCCGCATCACTTCCATAGGATCCCGCATCACTTCCATAGGATCCGGACCCACTCCCATAGGATCCCGAGGCGCTCCCCTGGGATCCGGCCCCCCCCAGCTGGGGGCTGAGGAATCCCATGGGATCCTTGCATGGATCCACCCCGGCCATCAGCGGCTCCAGGCGGGATCCGGATTCGCAGCGGGCGGAGACGCCTGGGGCAAGGCGGAGCCTCAGCCCCGGCCCCAGCCCGCTCCATCCCATCCCATTCAATCCCATTCCATCCCATTCCCCCCAGTCCAACCCATTCCATCCCACTCTATCCCAGTCCATCCCACTCTATCCCAGTCCATCCCACTCTATCCCAGTCCAACCCATTCCATCCCATTCCAACCCATTCCCGACCCATTCCAACCCATTCCATCCCATTCCAACCCATTCCATCCCATTCCAACCCATTCCATCCCATTCCAACCCATTCCATCCCATTCCAACCCATTCCATCCCATTCCATCCCATTCCATCCCAGTCCCCATCCCGCTCCATCCCATCCCATTCCCCCCATTCCAAGCCATTCAATCCCATTCCAACCCATTCCATCCCACTCTATCCCAGTCCCCATCCGGCTCCATCAGATCCCATTCCCCCCATTCTAACCCATTCCATCCCACTCTATCCCAGTCCAACCCATTCCATCCCACTCTATCCCATTCCAACCTATTCCATCCCACTCTATCCCAGTCCCCATCCCATTCTACCCCACTCTATACCAGTCCATCCCACTCTATCTCAGTCTCCATCCCATTTTATCCCCATCCACCCCATCCCTCTCTATCCTATTCCATCCCATTCCATTCCCTCTCTATCCCATCCCACTCTATCCCATCCCTCCCTATCCCATCCCTCTCCATCCCCATCCCTCTCCAACCCCATCCCTCTCCATCCTATCCCTCTCCATCCCTATCCCATCCATCCCCATCCCTATCCCCATCCTTCCCCATCCCTCTCTATCCCATCCCTCCCTATCCCACCCCATCCCTATCCCATCCCTCTCCATCCCCATCCCTCTCCATCCATCTCCATCCCCATCCCTCTCTATCCCATCCCTCTCCATCCCATCCCTCTCCATCCCCATCCCTCTCCATCCATCTCCATCCCCATCCCTCTCTATCCCATCCCTCTCCATCCCTCTCCATCCCTATCTCTCTCTATCCCATCCCTCTCCATCCCATCCCATCCCTATCCCTACCCCTATCCCCATCCCTATCCCTACCCCATCCCTATCCGGTCTCTCACCTCCCATCCCAGCGCACACCAGGAGCACCCCGAGGGCCGGCAGCAGCCGGGGCCGGGCCATGGCCGGGGCCATCGGAGCCAGCGGGGACGGAACCGGGAGCCGGGACCCGGGAGCGCCCTTAAATGGGGCCGGGCCCCGCCCGCAGCCACGCTCTGAGTCACGGGGGAGCGGCACCGGGGCGGGCACCGGGGGGGGGCACAATGGGGGTACTATGGGGGTACAATAGGGTCCTATGGGGGTACAATAGGGTCCTATGGGGGTACTATGGGGGTACTATGGGGGTATCTATGGGGCCCTATGGGGGTATCTATGGGGGTATCTATGGGTACAATGGGGGTACTATGGGCACATGGGGGCATGGGGTCCAATGGGGGTCTATGGGAATAGGGACAGGGGGTACAATAGGGTCCTATGGGGGTACTATGGGGGTACTATGGGGGTATCTATGGGGGTACAATGGGGGTATCTATGGGGCACTATGGGGGCACTATGGGGGTCCAATGGGGGTACTATGGGGGTACAATAGGGTCCTATGGGGGTACAATAGGGTCCTATGGGGGCACTATGGGGGTTCTATGGGGGTACTGTGGGGGTACTATGGGGGTACAATAGGGTACTATGGGGGTTCTATAGGGGTTCTATGGGGGTACAATGGGGGTATCTATGGGGGTACAATGGGGGTACTATGGGGGCACTATGGGGGTACTATGTGGGTATCTATGGGGGTACAATGGGGGCACAATGGGGGTATCTATGGGGGTACTATGGGGGCACAATGGGGGTACTATGGGGGTTCTATGGGGGTACAATGGGGGCACTACGGGGGTACTATGGGGGCACTATGGGGGCACAATGGGGGCGCAATGGGGGTCCTATGGGGGCACTATGGGGGCACAATAGGGTCCTATGGGGGCACTATGGGGTCAGTATGGGGTCACAATGGGCTCAGTATTGGGGCACTGTTCAGGTCACTATGGGGGTCCTTATAGGGTTTCCTATGTGGGGGGCACCAGAGACCTCGATCCCTGTAACAAGGTGTCAGTGGTCACCCAGACCCCTGTGTCCCTACTGGGATAACCACTGGGATATACTGGGAGGGACCAAGTCCCTACTGGGAGGGGGGAATGTTACTCAATGCCTGTGTCCCTTTGGAGGTCCCTATGGGGTCCCTATGGGGTTCCTATATAGGTCACTATTGGGGTCCCTATGGTGGTCCCTATGTAGGTCCCTATTGGGGTCCCTATGGAAGGTCCCTATGTAGGTCCCTATGGAGTCCCTATGGGGCTCCCTATGTAGGTCCCTATTGGGGTCCCTATGGAGGGTCCCTATGTAGGTCCCTATTGGGGTCCCTATGGGGGTTCCCTATTGGGGTCCCTATGGGGTTCCTATGTAGGTCCCTATGGGTGCGGATCGGGGTCAGGGCGGCGCCGGGACTCGGGCGGGGTGGGTGCGGCCGGACGCGGGTCCCCTTGGCAAGGTCACAGAGGTCAGGGCGGGGTCACAAAGGTCAGGGCGGGGTCACAAAGGTCAGGGTGGGGCCCCCCCATCCCCCCCCGGAAGGCAGAGATTAGGGGTGGGCGGGGCCAAAGTGAGGTCAGACCCCCGGGGGGGGAGGTGGGGGTGGAATGGGGGGGATCCAAATGGATTTAAGGGGTGCCAAGGAGCTGGGATGGGGATTGGGGGATCCATGGGGTTCTGGGGGGGATACGGGGAATGGGGGGGGGTCCTGATGGGTTTCAGGGATCCCTTTAATGGGGGATGCTGGGAGATGGGAGGATTCCAGGGACAGGGATTTGGGGGGATCCTGATGGATTTGAGGGATCCCTTTAATGGGGGATGCTGGGAGATGGGAGGATTCCAGGGACAGGGATTGGGGGGGATTGGGGGGGATCCTGATGGATTTAAGGGGTGCCGAGGGGCAGAGATTTGGGGGGGGAATCCCCAACAGGAAGAATCCATGGGGCTGGAGGGGGGGGAGGATGAACGGGGACCCCCAACCCAAGGCGCTGGGATGGGATCTGATGGATCCCGATGGGATCATGGGGGAACCCAACGTCACCGCGCGGTGTCGCTGCACCCGCGACCCTACAATAACACCCCATGGGCCTCGCCCCGCCCCTTCCCAAGCAAGCCCCGCCCCTCGCATAGGCCACGCCCCTCCTTCTTCTACACCCCCCCCACCTCCCCCTCCCCTCCTTCCCCACACAAAGCCCCCCCCTCCCCCCCGCACCGGGGGGGTCCCGGGGCTCCCCTTTGCGCTCCCCCACCCCTTTGGGTCCCTCCATTAGAACAAAGAGGGGGGAGGGGAGGGGAGGGGGGAACCCGCCCCGGGTTCCTGCGAGTCATCGCGCCCCTCCCCCACCTCCCCACCCCCTCCCCCTCCCCCCCCGCGGGAAAAGCCGCTTTTCATCCCCCCCCCCCTCCCTTTCTCCTTCCCCCCCCCCCACCCCCCCGCATCCGCTTGGTTCGGCTCCGCTCTGGGGTGAGTACACGGGGACCCCCCGGACCGTCCCAACGGACGGGAACCCCCCCCCCCCCAGCATCCGCCCTTCCGCGACAAAGGCAGCGCCAATGGGGGCCCCCCCCTCCATCGGACCCGCGCACGCCGGGGTGGGGGGGGCCGGAAGACGGAGACACCCCATAGAGAGAACGGGCTCAGGAGGGGCATGGAGCCCACATAGAGGGACCCAGCCCGATAGCATGGACCCTACCCCATAGCAGGGACTCCACACCATACCATGGACCCTGCCCCATAGCATGGACCCCACCCCATAGCATGGACCCTACCTTATAGCATGGACCCCACCCCATAGCAGGGACCCCACCCCATAGCAGGGACCCCGCCCCATAGCATGGACCCTACATTATAGCATGGACCCTGCCCCATACCATGGGCCCCGTCCCATAGCATGGACCCTATCTTATAGCAGGGACCCTGCCCCATAGCATGGACCCCACCCCATAGCATGGACCCTGCCCCATAGCATGGACCCTACCTTATAGCAGGGACCCTACCCGATAGCATGGACCCTGTCCCATAGCAAGGACCCCACCCCATAGCATGGACCCCGCCCCATAACATGGACCCCACCCCATAGCAGGGACCCCACCCCATAGCATGGACCCCACCCCATAGCAGGGACCACCCCCGAAACCTTGGAGGTCCCCCCTTCATCCTGAGACCCCCTCAATTTCCTGCCCCCCCCCCCCCCAAATCCTGGTGCCCAGTCCCGAGTCCCCCCCCTTTGGATGCCAGCACCAGGAGCTGTGATGGGGGGACAAGCCCCGTCCCGCTGTCCCCAGGGGTCCCCTCCTCTTCCCATCAGCATCACGCCCCCTCCATGGTGGCCTCAGTGGCTCCAGTCCCCATCCCTGCTCCATCATCCCCATCCCCGCTCCATCATCCCCATCCCTGCTCCATCATCCCCATCCTTGGTTCCTCTTCATCCCCATCCTAACCCATCACCTCACTGTTCCAGCTCCATCATCCCCATCCTTGGTTCTTCTTCATCCCCATCCTTGGTTCCTCTTCATCCCCATCCCTTGTTCCTCCATCATCCCCATCCTTGGTTCCTCCATCATTCCCATCCTTGATTCTTCCACCACTCCCATCTCTTGTTCCTTCACCATCCCCATCCTTGGGCCCTCATCCCCACCCTTGGTTCCTCCATCATCCTCATCCTAACCCATCACCTCCCCTTCCAGCTCCACCATCCCCATCCTTTTTCCTCCATCATCCCCATCCTTGGTTCTTCATCCCTGTCCTTGGATCCTCTTCCTCACCATCCTTAGCTCCTCTTCATCCCCATCCTTTTTCCTCCATCATCCCCATCCTTGGTTCTTCATCCCTGTCCTTGGATCCTCTTCATCTCCATCCCTTGTTCCTTCATCATCCCCATCCTTGGTTCCTCCATCATCCCTATACTATCCCATCACCTTGCCATTCCATCTCCACCATCCCCATCCCCATCCCTCCATGGCTCCATCCCAGATCCATGTCCCTGCTCCATCCTCATCCCCATCCCAGATCCTTGTCCCTGCTCCATCCCCATCCCGGATCTGTTCCTCATCCTCATCCCAGATCCATCCCCATCCCCATCCCTATCCCAAATCCATGCCCCTGCCCCTGCCCCTGCTCCATCCCCATCCCCATCCTGGATCCATGTCCCTGCTCCATCCCCATCCCTGCTCCATGCCCCTGCCCCTGCTCCATCCCCATCCCCATCCATGTCCCTGCTCCATCCCCATGCCAGCTCCGTTCCCCTGCCCCTGCCCCTGCTCCATCCCGGTCCCTGCCGGTCCCCTCAGGCCATGGCGGTTCCCAGCTGGAAGCTGCAGCTCCTGGAGCGCCGGCGCCGGGAGGAGGAGGCCTCGGTGCGGCGGGAGCGGGAGCAGCGGGACCGGGCCGCGCAGCTTCCCCTCTGGAAGCGGGAGCTGCTGGAGCGGCGCCGGGCCAAGGCCGGGGGAGCGTCCGGTAACAGCGGGGCCGGGCCGGGCCCCGCCGCACCGGGGCTGAGCCGCAGCGCGGAGGCGCTGGAGAGCGGAGGGGACCCGGAGCCCCCCCGCGGCCGCGTCCGGCGCCTCCGCTCCCGCTTCGCCCCTGCCCGGTCCCTGAGCCCCGAGCGGGAGCGGGGGGAACCGGGGGGGGCAGCGGAGGGGGCTGGGGATGCTCAGGGCACAGCCAAGGGTGATGGGGGCCCGGGGCCGCCACCGGGGGGTGTGGGGCGGGAGGAGGGTGGCGGTGGGGCTGGGAGCAATGGGGCTGGGAGCAGTGGGGCTGAGATCCATGGGGCTGAGAGCAATGGGGCTGAGAGCTGTGGGGCTGAGAGCAATGGGGCTGGGAGCCGTGGGGCTGGGAGCAATGGGGCTGAGATCCATGGGGCAGGCAAGGACCGCAGGGGGCGCAATGGGGATGGGGATGGGGCAAGCAAGGAGATGGAGGGGGAGAAGAAGGGAATGGGCAAGGGGAGCATTGAGGGGTGCAGGGAGGGGAAGGGGCACGGGGCAGCCAAAGAGATGGTGGCACCAAATCTGGTGGTACCCAAGGACCCAGTGATGCCCAAGGTCCTGGTGGCACCAAAGGACCCAGTGGTACCAAAGGACCCAGTGGTACCCAAGGACCCAGTGATGCCCAAGGTCCTGGTGGCACCAAAGGACCCAGTGGTACCCAAAGTCCTGATGGCACCAAAGGATCCAGTGGCACCAAAGGGCCCGGTGATGCCCAAGGTCCTGATGGCACCAAAGGACCCAGTGGTACCCAAGGTCCTGGTGACACCAAAGGACCTGGTTACCCCTAAAGACCCAGTGCCACCCAAAGCCCTGATGACAACAAAAGCCCCGGTGCCACCCAAAGACCCGGTGCCACCCAAGGACCTGGTTCTAACCAAAGCCCCGGTGCCACCAAGGGACCCGGTGCCACCCAAGGACCTGGCTCCCACCAAGGCCCCGGTGCCACCCAAGGGCCCCACCACGTGCTCGGTGCCGGTGCCGCCGTCACCGTCGCCATCACCTCCGGGTGCGGGTGGGGAGGAGCCGGGCGCCGGCGCCATGCGCGGGGGCCCCCGCCATGGGCCCCCCTTGGCCCACCCGGCCCTGGAGCGCCGCAGCGGGAACACCATCACCGTGCGGCCGCGCCGCACCGGGACCGTGGCACCGGAACCGGCCCCAGCACCGGCACCAGCACCGGCACCAACAGCGGCAGTGGGGCCGGAGCCGCTGCCCCCCCCCAAGAAGCGCTACCCCACGGCAGAGGAGATCCAGGTCATCGGGGGGTACCTGGCGCTGCCGCGCTCCTGCCTGGCCAAGAGCCACCCCCACCGCAAGAAGGTACCGGCCCCATGGCCCCATCCCTGTCCCTTTGTGTCCCCATACATGTCCCCGTTGTGACCCCATCCATGGCCCCATCCCTGTCCCTTTGTGTCCCTTTGTGTCTCCATCCCTGTCCCTTCGTGTCCCTTTGTGTCCCCATCCCTGTCCCTGTGTGACCCCATCCATGTCCCCATCCATGACCACATCCGTGTCCCTTTGTGTCTCCATCCATGTCTCCATGGCCCCATCCATGACCCCATCCATGTCCCCTTTGTGACCCCATCCATGTCCCTTTTGTGTCCCCATCCATGTCCCTTTGTGTCCCCATCCGTGTCCCTATCCATGTCCCCTTTGTGTCCCCATCCATGGCCCCATCCATGTCCCCATCGGTGTACCTTCATGTCCCCATCCGTGTCCCCTTTGTGTCCCCATGGCCACCCCATGGCTCCTGTTGGGGTCCCTCCAGCCCCTCAGTGTCACCTCTTCCTTGTCCCCTCCTGGACCATCTTGTCCCCATCCCATGTCTGTGTCCTCATCCCTATGTCCCCATGTCCATGTCCCTATCCTATCCCCTGCCCCCATCCCATATCCCCATGTCCTCATCCCCATCCCATGTCCCCATCCCCATCCTATCTCCCTATCCCCATCCCGTATCTCCATCCCTGCCCCTTCCCATGGTCCCCAACCCTTGTTCCTGCCCCCCCATGGCCCCAGCCCCATTTCCTGCCCCACTTCCTGCCCCCCCCAACAGCACCCCAAAAACAGGAACTGGGGGGGGGGATGGGCAGGAAGTGGCTCTATGGGGGAGGGGCAGCTCCTCCCCTGTCCCCCCTGCGGGTCACATGACCTCCCCCCCATTAAGAGCCTCCCATTAATGATGCTTAAGCGCAGGGGGATTAATCACTATGGGAACGGCGGGGGGGCCAGGGCCAGGGTGTCCCAGTGGTGTCCCCATGTGTCCCTATGGTGTCCTAATGGTATCCCTGTGGTGTCCCAATGGTGTTCCTATGGTCCCCATCTGTCTCCATGTGTCCCTATGTGTCCCTATGGGGTCCCCATCTGTCCCCATGTGTCCCTCTGTGTCCTTATGGTGTCCCCATCTGCCCCTTTGGTGTCTTTATGGTGTCCCCATGTGACCTCTCATTATTCCACCATTGCCCCCCCATTATTCCCCCATTACTCCCATTAACCCCATCACCCCCATTACTGCAATACCCCATTACCCCCAATACACCATTGCCCCCATTACCCCAATACACCCATTAACCCATTGCCCCCATCCCCTGCTTACCCCAATACCCCCATTGCCCCCATTACCCCCATCACCCCATTCCCCCCCTTACCCCCCTTACCCCCACTACCCCAATATCCCCATTACCCCTATGCCCCCATTACCCCCATTACCCCAATACCCCCCTCACCCCCCCGCCCCCCTTGCCGCAGCTGAAGATCTGGTTCAGCGAGCGGGACCTGGAGCGCACCTTCTCTTACCCATCGGAGGGGGCGCTGCTGGCGGCCTGGGGACCCCCCGAGGAGCCCCCGCCCCCCCCAGGGCCCGCCCCCGACGATGAAGAGGAGGAGGAGGAGCCCCCCCATGGGCGGGGGGGGCCGGGGGGGCTGCGGGCGCGAGCCTTGCTCGTGGGTGAGACATGGGGGGGGTAATGGGGACCTCAATGGGGGGTAATGGGGGGGGAATGGGGGTCTGTGGCCATGGGGGGGGGGATGGAGGCGTTAATGGGGGGCAATGGGGGGGTAATGGGGAGGCTAAAGGGGGTAATGGGGGTCTATGGCCGTGCGGGAGGGTTATGGGGATGAATGGAGGGGTTAATGGGGGGTAATGGGGGGGCTAAAGGGGGTAATGGGGGGCTAAAGGGGGTAATGGGGGTCTATGGCCATGCATGGAGGTCCTTTGGGGCGAATAGAGGGGTTAATGGGGGGCAATGGTGGGGCTAAAGGGTGTAATTGGGGTCTATGGACATGCGGGGGGGGTAATGGAGGGGTTAATGGGGGGTAATGAGGAGGCTAAAGGGGGTAATTGGGGTCTATGGACATGCTGGGGGGGTAATGGAGGGGTTAATGGGGGGTAATGAGGAGGCTAAGGGGGGTAATTGGGGTCTATGGCCACGCGGGGGGGTCCTGGGGGGGTAATAGGGGGGCTCATGGGGGGCAATGGAGGGGTAATGGGGGATTACAGGGGGTCATGGGGAGGTAATGGAGGGGTTTATGGGGGATTAAAGGGGGTAATGGGGGTTTAAAGGGGGTAATGGGGGGGTAATGGGGGTCTAGGGCCATGGAGGGGTAATGGAGGGGCTTATGGGGGTAATGGGGGTCCCATCCCCGTGTCTCCCCCACACAGATGAATCCTGCCGCCGGTAACCCCGGCCTCTGCCCCACGGCCGGGGGGGGGGGGATGACGATGGAGCCGCCTTGGGGCCCCCCTCCCCACCATGGACCTGCAAGACCCCCCCCCCCCCGAAGGGGCAGGACCCCCATGGACCCCCATAGACCCCCATGGGGGGGGGGGTACAAGGACACCATGGGGGGGGGGGTCCCACCTCTCATTTTGTAGCTTTTATAGCGGGGGGGGGTGGAGGGGGGGCAATTATTCTCAATGCGTGTTTTTTAGCTTAATTACGGTCTTTTCTAAGCTTTATCAGTATTGGGCCAACTGGAGCTGCCCCAGTTTGATACCGGGATATGGGGGGGGGGGGGTGTAACCATGGCAACGTGATGGAGGGGGGAACACACAAGCGTGGCCTGCTACCGTTGCTACGGCAACGGCGCCTGCGGCCTGCTCCGGTTGCCGTGGCAACGAAGCCTTTGTCTTCCTCCTCTTACCCCGCGGTGCTGTACGCGGCAATAAACGCTCAACCGTTGCTCTTGTGACAACGGGGACATCGTGGGGGGGGGGAAAGGGACCGCAATTACCCCCCCCTTGTGGAAGTGGGGGGGGGGATAGAGGGAGCGTGCTTATGGTTTGTGCGGCGCTGCTCTGCGCGGTATTACGGTAGTGCGTTGGGCGCGCATGCGCGCAGCGCGCTGATTGGCTGCTGTGGGCGTGAGGCGGGGACAGGAAGTGGGGCCGGCGGCGGCAGTGATGGCGGCGGCGGCGGCGTTGGAGCGGTGGGTGTCCGGGGAGCTGCAGGAGCTGCTGGGGCTCAGCGGCCGCCACGTCCCCGCCTTCCTGGTGGCGCTGGCCCGGAAGAGCCGCAGCGCGGAGGAGCTGCTGGAGCGGCTGCGGGACACGGAGGCGCTGCGGGTGGACGAGCCGCGGGTGCAGGCCTTCGCCAGGGAGCTATGGGGGAAGGTAGGCGGGGCCGAGGCGAAGGGGCGGGGTTTCGGGCTTATCGACATGGGGGCGTGGCTTGAAACCATATAAGGAAATTGTGGGCGTGCCCTGACCTTAGCCCCGCCCTCAGGTGCCCCGGGAGGCGCGGCCGGAGCCGCCGGGCCGCGCTGCGGAGCGGGCCGCGTTGGAGCTGCAGCGCCGCAGCCAAGGCTACCGATTGGTGGAGAGCGACGACGAGGGGGCGGGGCCTGCTCCAAGCCGCGCCCATCCTCCGCCTGGCTCCGCCCACAGCGCTTCCAAGCACCGCCCACACCTCCGGCGCCGACGTTCCGAGTCCCCCGAGGCCTCCAGCCCCTCGCCATCGCCCCCCCCACCGTGAGTACCGCCCCCGTATCCAAGGTCTCCCTATGGAGCTTTTGGGATCCCTTTGGATGCAGAGCATCCCTTGGGATTTGGGGGTTCCCATCTTCAGGATCACATCCAACTCATGTGTGTACCCCCCCCCCAGGGCTCCGGAGCCCCCCGAGGAGCCGGAAGCGGAATGGGAAGCATCGGAGCGGGAACGGCTCCGGGATCTACAGGAGCGCGATGCCTTCGCCGAGCGGCTGCGGCGCCGCGATCGCTCCCGCACCGTCCTCACCCGCCCTGACGCCAAGGTGAGGGGCACAGCTGGGAATGGGGGGGGGGGAGGGATAGGAGGTGTCCATGGGTTGCGGTTCCTCCATGGGGTTTAGGAGGGGTCCAGTAGGAACTGATGGCTCCAATGGGACCTGGAGCTGGCAGCCAGGACGAGGGGGTCCCTGCCACTTGGAAGCCCTGGGGAGCATTTGGGATTCCTGGATGGAATTGGCTGGGATTGGGGGGTGCTTTGGGATCTCCTCCTTTATTCACCCCATTTCCCCCCCTCCCCATTCCTCCCTTTTCCCTCCCTTATTCCTTCCCTTTCCCCCCCTTTTCCCCTCTCAGGCCTATGAAGAAGCCCAGAAACGCCTCAAAGTCGCTGAAGAAGACCAGAAAACACTGGTGAGTCCTGTTTATGTTTAACGTTGTCACGGCATCCCACTGCATCCCACTGCATTGCAATGAATCCCCCTGCATCCCACTGCATTGCAATGAATCCCACTGCATCCCACTGCATTGCAATGTATCCCACTGCATTGCAATGAATCCCCCTGCATCCCACTGCATTGCAATGTATCCCACTGCATTGCAATGAATCCCCCTGCATCCCACTGCATTGCAATGTATCCCACTGCATTGCAATGAATCCCCCTGCATCCCACTGCATTGCAATGTACTCCACTGCATCCCACTGCATTGCAATGAATCCCCCTGCATCCCACTGCATTGCAATGTATTCCACTGCATCCCAATGTATCCCACTGCATAGTACTGCATCCCACTGGATCGCAACGTATCCCAGTGCATCCCACCGCATCCCTCTGCATCCCACTGCATCCCACCGCATCCCATTGTATCCCACCGCATCCCACTGCATCCCAATGCATCCCTCTGCATCCCACCGCATCCCACTGCATCCCAATGCATCCCACTACATCCCATCACATCCCATTGTATCCCACCGCATCCCACTGCATCCCTCTGCACTGTGCTGGCTGCCCCGCAGGTGCCAGAGCTCCGGAAGCGATCCCGCCGGGAGTACTTGGCCAAGCGGGAGCGGGACAAACTGGAGGAGCTGGAGGCCGAGATCGCGGACGAGGAGCAGCTCTTCGGGGAGGAGACGCTCTCGGCGCCGGAGCGGAGCCGCCTGCGCTACAAGCGCCGCCTACGGGACCTGGCCCGCCAGTACAAGCAGGCGGGGGAGCAGGAGCGCCTGGAGAAGAGCCAGCGGTACCGGATGCCCGAGGAGCGGCGCGGCAAGGTCCGGCCCCCAAACCCCGCCTCTAGCCCCATGGGAGCCATCCCATTGGTTCCCGGTGCTCCAAACCCCGCCTCTATCCCCATGGGAGCCATCCCATTGGTTCCCATCGGTTCCCAGCGCTCCCTTCCCATGTCCTGTTGGGGTCCCCCCCATCACTTCCCATCAGTTTCCAGTGCTCCAAATCCAACCCTTACCCCCAAACCCATCCCTTACCCCCATACCCATTCCTTACCCCCATACCCATCCCTTACCCCCATACCCATCCCTTACCCCTATACCCATCCCTTATGCCATACCAATCCCTTACCCCCCCATATTCACCCCTATGGCACCCATACCCATCCCTTACCTCCCATATTCATCCCTATGTCCCCCATACTCAGTCCTATGCCCCCATACCCCTCCTTTACCCCCATACTCACCGCTCTGCCCCCCATAAACCCACATAGCCCCCCATCCCCCCCATACCCCACATATGCCCCCATTCCCCCTCTCCCCCCCATACCCACCTCTATCACCCCCATCCCCCCCATCCCCAACCCTCTCCCCCCCATACCCCCCCCGTACCCCCCATACACCCCCCATCCTCCCATTATCCCATCCTCCCCTCATTCTCCAGGTGCTGGAGCCGGATCCCCCCCCCCCGTACCCCGAGGAGCCGCAGGCCCCCCGGGACGAGCAGCGGCGCTGGGAGGAGGAGCGCCTGGAGGCGGCCGCGCTGCGCTTCGGGGCCCGCGACGCCGCCGCCCGCCGGCCCCAGCCCCGCTACGAGGTCCTGCTGGAGGAGGAGCCCCTGGTGGAGTTCATCAGCGCCTGCCCCCTGCAGGGCAGCCAGGAACTGGTACGGGTACGGGTACCGGTATGGGGATGGGGATGGGGATGGGGATGGGTACCGGGATGGGTACCGGCACTGGGGATGGGATAGAGAGAGAGAGATGGGGATGGGATAGAGAGAGATGGGGATGGGGATGGGATATATAGAGAGAGATGGGGATGGGGATGGGGGGGTATGGGGTGGGGATGGGGGGAGAGGGGTGAGTATGGGGGTAAGGGAGGGGTATGGGGGGTAAGGGATGGAAATGGGGGTAAAGGATGGATATGGGGGTAAGGGATGGGTATGGGGGTAAGGGATGGATATGGGAGTAAGGGATGGATACGGGAGTAAGGGATGGGTATGGGGGTAAGGGATGGATATGTGGTTAAGGAATGAGTATAGGGATAAGGGGTGGGTATGGGGGTAAGGGATGGAAATGGGGGTAAGGGATGAGTTTGGGGCCACTGTGTGCAGCCATAGGAGGTAATGGGTGCCCATAGAGGTGATGGGTGTCCTTGGAGGTGATGGGTCCCTATAGGGGGTGTGATGAGTGCCCACAGAGGTGATGGGTGCCCATAGAGGTGCTGGGTCCCTATGGGATGTGATGAGTCCCTATGGTCTGTACTGGGAGCCCATAGCAGGACTGTACTGGTTCCCCATGGTCTGTACTGGGTCCCCATGGACTGTCCTGGTCCCCCCAGGAGGCCGCCCCGGCCGTGTCGGAGGCCGAGCGCCGGCGGCAGTCGGTGCAGGAGCAGCGCCGCAGCCTCCCCATCTTCCCGTACCGGGAGGAGCTGGTGGCCGCCATCGCCCAGCACCAGGTCCTGGTCATCGAGGGGGAGACCGGCTCCGGGAAGACCACACAGATCCCACAGTACCTGCATGAGGAGGTGGGGGACAGGGGGGGTAATGGGGGGAATGGGGGGGAATGGGGGCAATGGGGGTAATGGGGGGAATGGGGGGGAATGGGGGCTATGGGGGAAATGGGGGCTATGGGAGCAATGGAGGCTATGGGGGGGCAATGGGGGGAATGGGGGTCTATGGGGGAAATGGGGGCAATGGGGGAAATGGGGCTATGGGGGGCTATGGGGGCAATGGGGGGCCATGGGGGAAATGGGGCTATGGGGGTAATGGGGGGCTATGGGGGCAATGGAGCCATGGGGGCAATGGGGGGCAGTGGGGGAAATGGGGAATGGGGGGCAATGGCAGTGGGGGGCTATGGGTGCAATGGGGGAAATAGGGGCAAGGGGGCAATGGGGGCAATAGGGGAATGGGGCATGGGAAATGGGCTATGGGGGCAATGGGGGGCTGTGGGGGATGGGGGGCAATGCCAGTGGGGGGCAATGGGGGCTATGGGGGGCAATGGGGGCCTATGGGGGAAATGGGGGCAATGGGGGGCAATGCGGGCTATGGGGGGCAATGGGGGTCTATGGAGGGCAATGGGGTTTGGGGTCCCCCCTCTTTGACCGTGTCCCCCCCTTGTCCAGGGCTACACGCGGCAGGGGCTGAAGATCGGCATCACGCAGCCGCGGCGAGTGGCTGCCATGAGCGTGGCGGCACGGGTGGCGGTGGAGATGGGCACCAAGCTGGGCAATGAGGTGAGCGGGGTATGGGGTATATGGGGTATATGGGGTGTATGGGGTGTATGGGGTATGGGGTATATGGGATATGGGGTATGGGATATGGGATATGGTGTATGGGATAGGGGATATGGGCTATGGGGTATGGGGATGTGGCTTCATGCGAGGGTCCCCCCCAGGTAGGGTACAGCATCCGCTTCGAGGACTGCACATCGGAGCGCACGGTGCTCAAGTACATGACGGATGGGATGCTCCTAAGGGAATTCCTCACCGAGCCCGACCTCGCATCCTACAGGTGCCTATGGGGACATGGGGGTACCCAGGGCAGTGCTTGGGTCCCACTGCTGGGGCCGCGCTGTAACCATGGCCCCATTCCCATCCCCATGTCCTTATGTGTATCCCATGTCCATCTCCATGGCCCCATTCCCATCCCCATGTCCTTATGTGTATCCCATGTCCATCTCCATGGCCCCATTCCCATCCCCATGTCCTTACGTGGATCCCATGTTCATCCCCATGGCCCCATTCCCATCCCCATGTCCTTACGTGTATCCCATGTTTCCCCCATGTTTCCCCCTGTGTTTCCCCCCCTGTGTCCCCCATGTTTCCCCCCCTGTGTCCCCCATGTTTGCCCCCCGTGTCCCCCATGTTTCCCCCCACATCCCCCCCATATTTCCCCCACATCCCCCCCATGTTTCCCCCCCCCATCCCCCCATATCCCCCCATATCCCCCCCTGCTCCCCCCCAGTGTACTGATGGTGGACGAGGCCCACGAGCGCACCCTGCACACGGACGTGCTCTTCGGCCTGCTCAAGGACATCGCTCGCTTCCGGCCCCAGCTCAAGGTGCTCGTGGCCTCGGCCACCCTGGACACGGGGCGCTTCGCGGCCTTCTTCGATGATGCCCCCGTGTTCCGCATCCCCGGGCGCCGCTTCCCTGTCGATATCTATTACACCAAGGTATATGGGGTGTATGGGGTGTATGGGGTATATGGGGTGTATGGGGTATATGGGGTGTATGGGGTGTATGGGGTATATGGGGTGTATGGGGTATGGGGTATGGATATATGGGGCTGGGGATGGGTATGGGGTGATATTATTATAAGGTATATGGGGTGTATGGGGTATGGGGTATATGGGGTATATGGGGTGTATGGGGTATGGGGTATGGATATATGGCACCGCTTCGCGGCCTTCTTCGATGATGCCCCCGTGTTCCGCATCCCCGGGCGCCGCTTCCCTGTCGATATCTACTACACTAAGGTATATGGGGTGTATGGGGTGTGGGATATAGGGTATGGGATATATAGATTATGGGGTATGGCATATGGGGTATGGGATATGGTATGTGGGGTAACGGGGTATGGATATTGGGTATGGATAGGGGCTGTGGGATGTGGGCCATGGACACCCAGAGCCCCCTTGGTGACACCTCCGTGCCCCCCTGGCCCCTTGCAGGCGCCCGAGGCCGATTACCTGGAGGCGTGCGTGGTGTCGGTGCTGCAGATCCACGTCACTCAGCCCCCCGGGGACATCCTCGTCTTCCTCACCGGGCAGGTGCGGGCCCCGGCCCTATGGGTGTACCCATGGTATCCCTATGGATGTACCCATTGCATCCCTATGGATGTACCCACTGCATCCCTATGGATGTACCCATTGCATCCCTATGGATGTACCCACTGCATCCCTATGGATGTACCCACTGCATCCCTATGGATGTACCCATTGCATCCCTATGGATGTACCCATTGTATCCCTATGGATGTACCCATTGCATCCCTATGGATGTACCCATTGCATCCCTATGGCTGCCCCCATTGCATCCCCAGGAGGAGATCGAGGCCTGCGTGGAGCTGCTGCAGGAGCGGTGCCGGCGCCTGGGCTCGCGCCTGCCGGAGCTCCTGGTGCTCCCCATCTACGCCAACCTGCCCTCGGACATGCAGGCCCGCATCTTCCAGCCCACGCCCCCCGGCGCACGCAAGGTGAGGGCCCTTTAAGAGAGGGGAGGGGCCGAGGGGAGGAGCCAATGGGGGGAAAGGGTGGGTGCCAAGGGGTGGGGCTTAATGGGGTGGGGTTAAAGGGGAGGGGTTTAATGGGGTGGGTAAAGGGGAGGGGCTTAATGAGGAGGGGTTAAAGGGGAGGGGCTTCATAAGGAGGAATTAAAGGGGAGGGGCTTAATGGGGTGGGTAAAGGGGAAGGGCTTAATGAGGAGGGGTTAAGGGGGAGGGGCTTAACGAGGAGGGGTTAAATGGGAAAGGCTTAATGGGGTGGATAAAGGGGAGGGGCTTAATGGGGTGGGGTTAAAGGGGAGGGTATTAATGAGGAGGGGTTAATGAAGAGGGGCTTAATGAGGTGGTGCTCAAGGGGAGGGGCTTAAAGGGGAGGGGCTTAATGGGGTGGGTAAAAGGGAGGGGCTAAATAGGTGGTGGTGCTAAAGGGGCGGGGCTTAAATGGGTAGGGCTAAAGGGGAGGGGCTTAATGGGGCTCCAAGGGGTGGGTCTAAGGGGTCAGAGCTTAACGGGGCATGGTCCAAGTGGGAGGAGCCTCCATGCCCCATCCCCCCCTCGCCCCATAGGTGGTGGTGGCCACCAACATTGCAGAGACATCGGTGACCATCGACGGCATCGTCTACGTCCTGGACCCCGGGTTCTGCAAGCAGAAGAGCTACAGCGCCCGCACCGGCATGGAGTCCCTCGTGGTCACCCCCTGCTCACGGGTGCGTGGGGCTCTGACCCCCCATCACCCCCACATCTCTCCCTCCCCATCCCTGTATCCCCCCCATCTCTCCATCCCCATCCCTGTATCCCCCCATCTCTCCATCACCCTATCCCCATCCCCATCCCTGTATCCCCCATCTCTCCATCCCCATCGCCCCCATTCCCATCCCTGTATCCCCCTTATCTCCATCCCCAGCTCCCCCATCTCTGTATCCCTGTATCCCCTATATCTGCATCCCCAACCCCATCTCTCCATCCCTGTATCCCCCATCCCTGTATCCCCATCCCCATATCCCTGTATCCCCATCCCTGTATCCCCAGGGTACCCCCCTCTGATTGGTCCATCCCCCCCAGGCCTCAGCCAATCAGCGCGCGGGCCGGGCCGGGCGGGTGGCCCCCGGGAAGTGTTTCCGGCTCTACACGGCCTGGGCCTTCCAGCACGAGCTGGAGGAGAGCCCGGTACCGGAGATCCAGCGGGCGGACCTGGGCTCCCTGGTGCTGCTGCTCAAGAGCCTCGGTGCATGGGGGGCTCTATGGGCTCCTATGGGGGGCTATGGGGGGCTATGGGGGGTCTATGGGGGTCTATGGGGGCCTGGGGTCTATGGGGGTCTGTGGGGGTCTATGGGGGTCTGTGGGGGGTCTATGGGGGTCTATGGGGGTCTATGGGGGTCTGTGGGGGTCTATGGGGGTCTATGGGGGGCTATGGGGTCCTATGGGGGTCTATGGGGGTTCTATGGGGTTCTATGGGGGTCTATGGGCTCCTATGGGGGGCTGTGGGGGTCTATGGGGGCTCTATGGGGGGCTATGGGAGTTCTATGTGGTTCTGTGGGGGTTTTATGGGGTTCTATGGGGTTGTATTGGGGTTGTATGGGGGTCCTATGGGGGTCACTATAGGAGACAATATGGAGGTCACTGTGGTGTCACTTATGAGGGCACTATGGGGGATCCTATGGGGGGTCCTGTGAGGGTCCCTATGGGGGATCTGATGGGGGGTCCCTATGTGGTTCCCTTGCTGATGCCCCCCCCCCGCAGGCATCAATGACCTGATCCACTTTGACTTCCTGGACCCGCCCCCCCACGAGACGCTGGTGCTGGCACTGGAGCAGCTCTATGCCCTGGGGGCCCTCAACCACATGGGCGAGCTCACCACGGTACTGAGTGCACTGGGAGCACTGGGAGGGACTGGGAGCACTGGGGGGGTCCCATGGGGGAGCTCAGTATGGTACTGGGAGCAGTGGGAGGGACTGGGAGCACTGGGGGGGTCCCATGGGGGAGCTCAGCATGGTACTGGGAGCACTGGGAGCACTGGGGGGGGGTGAGGGTAGGGGGGTCCCTATGGGTGAGTGTTACATGGGGCTGGGGTAATGGAGGGGAGTTGCTGATGGTTACTGGGAGCACTGGGGGGGGTCACTGGTGCTCACTGGGAGCACTGGGTGGGGTCACTGGTGCTCACTGGGAGCACTCGGGGGGTCACTGATGGTTACTGGGGGGGTCACTGGTGGTCACTGGGAGCACTGGGGGGGTCACTGGTGCTCACTGGGAGCACTGGGGGAGTCACTGGTGCTCACTGGTGCTCACTGGTGGTCCCTGGGCTGTCCCAGCTGGGCCGGCGCATGGCGGAGCTGCCGGTGGAACCCATGCTGGCCAAGATGATCCTGGCCTCTGAGCAGTGAGTGCCCCATGGGTGCCCTATGGGTGCCCCCCCTTGGGTGTCCTATGGGTGGTGTCCCTATGGGTGTCCCTATGGGTGCTGTCCCTATGGTGTCCTATGGGTGCCCCCCGTGTCCCTATGGTGCCCCATGGGTGCCCTATAGGTGCCCCCCCTTGGGTGCCCTATGGGTGCCCCCCTGTGTCCCTATGGTGCCCTATGGGTGCCCCCCTGTGTCCCTATGGTGCCCTATGGGTGTCCCCAGTGTGTCCCTATGAGTGCTGTCCCTATGGGTGTCCCCATGGTGCCCTATGGGTGCCGTCCCCATGGTGCCCTATGGGTGCTGTCCCTATGGGTGTCCCCATGGTGCCCTATGGGTGCCCCCGTGCCCTATGCTGTCCCTGGGGTCCCCCCTCCCGGTGCCCTATGGGTGTCCCCATGTGTCCCCATGTTGCCCTATGGGTGTCCCTATGGGTGCTGTCCCCATGTGTCCCCATGTGTGCCCCCCCCCAGGTACGGCTGCACGGAGGAGGTGCTGACGGTGGCCGCCATGCTCTCGGTCAACAACGCCGTCTTCTACCGGCCCAAGGACAAGGTCCTGCACGCGGACAGCGCCCGCCGGGGCTTCCACCTGCCCGGGGGGGACCACCTCGTGCTGCTCAACGTCTACAACCAGGCAGGGGCATGGGGGGGAGATGGGGTATATGGGGGGTATGGGGGTATGGGGGTATATGGGGGTATGGGGTATGGGGGTATGGGGGGTATGGGATATGGGGTATATGGGGTATGGGGTATGGGATATGGGGTATGGGGTATGGAGTATGGGGTATGGGATATGGGGTATATGGGGTATGGGGGGTACAGATTATGGGGGGTATGGGCAGTGTATGGGGAGGTGTATGGGGGGTATGGGGTGGATGGTGTATGGGGTGTATGGGGTGAATGGGGTATAGGGTATGGGACATGGGGTGGATGGGGTATGGGGGCTATGGGGTGTATGGGGGGTATGGGGTGGATGGGGTATGGGGTGTATGGGGTATATGTGATGTATGGGGTATATGGGGTATAGGATATGGGGTATATGGGGTATGGGATGTATGGGGTAGAGGATATGGGGTATAGGATATGTGGTATATGGGGTATAGGATATGGGTTATATGGGGTATATGGAATGTGAGAGATGGAATATGGGGTACAGGATGTGAGCTACATGGGCTGTGTGGGACAGGGCAGGCTGATGGGCTGGGGGGCATGGGTACAGCCTGGCCTAACCATGTCCCCATTCCCCCATTCCCCCCATTACCCCATTGCCCCCAATCCCCCATTGTCCCCCATTCCCCCCTTGCAGTGGGTGGCCAGCGGTCACTCCCTGCAGTGGTGCTACGAGCACTTCGTGCAGGCGCGCTCCCTGCGCCGGGCCCGGGACGTGCGGGACCAGCTCGAGGGGCTCATGGAGCGCGTGGAGATCGCCCCGGCCTCCTGTGGGACTGACTACAGCCCCGTCCGCAAGGTGACCCATGGAGCCCTATGGGTGTCCCTATGGTGCCCTATGGGTGTCCCTATGGTGCCCTATGGGTGTCCCTATGAGTGCTGTCCCTATGGTGCCCTATGGGTGGAGATCGCCCCGGCCTCCTGTGGGACTGACTACGGCCCCGTCCGCAAGGTGACCACTGCCTGCTGGCCCTAGAGTGCCCTATGGGTGTCCTTATGGTGCCCTATGGGTGTCCCTATGAGTGCTGTCCCTATGGTGCCCTATGGGTGTCCCTATGGGTGCTGTCTGTATGGGTGTCCCTATGGTGCCCTATGGGTGGAGATCGCCCCAGCCTCCTGCGGCACCGACTATGGCCCCGTCCGCAAGGTGACCACTGCCTGCTGGCCCTATGGTGTCCTATGGGTGCTTGCCCTATGGGTGTCCCTATGGGTGCTGTCCCTATGGTGCCCTATGGGTGCTGTCCCTATGGGTGTCCCCATGGTGTCTTATGGGTGGACATCCCCCCAGCCTCCTGCACCCCCAACTACAGCCCCATCCGCAAGGTCCCTGCTCCCCCCCATCCCCATTGGGGATCCCCCCCCCCAACCATCACTGACCCCATTGTGCCCCCCCCAACCATCACTGACCCCATTGTGCCCCCCCCACCATCACTGACCCCATTGTGCCCCCCCACCATCACTGACCCCATTGTGCCCCCCCACCATCACTGACCCCATTGTGCCCCCCATCTCCATGTCCCCCCAGGCCATCACAGCGGGGTTCTTCTACCACACGGCGCGGCTGACGCGGGGCGGGTACCGCACGGTGAAACACCAGCACTCGGTGTTCATCCACCCCAACAGCGCCCTCTTCGAGGAGCAGCCCCGCTGGGTGCTCTACCACGAGCTCGTGTGCACCAGCAAGGAGTTCATGCGGCAGGTGGGGATGGGGAACTGGGGTGGGGAACTGGGATGGGGATGGGGGGAACTGGGTTGGGTGGGGGAACTGGGGTGGGGATGGGGGAACTGGGGTGGGGATGGGGGCACTGGGATGGGGGTACTGGGAGGGGGGAACTGGGATGGGGGGAACTGGGGTGGGGATGGGGGAACTGGGGAACTGGGATGGGGGGACTGGGATGGGGGGAACGGGAACCGGGATGGGGATGGGGGAACTGGGGAACTGGGATGGGGGGACTGGGATGGGGGGAACTGGGATGGGGATGGGGGGACTGGGATGGGGATGGGGGGAACTGGGATGGGGGCATTGGGATGGGGGCACTGGGACGGGGGCACTGGGATGGGGGCATTGGGATGGGGCACTGGGATGGGGGGGGCACCACGGGGATGGGGGCACCACGGGGATGGGGGAACTGGGATGGGGGCACTGGGATGGGCATGGGGGCACTGGGATGGGGGCACTGGGATTGGGATGGGGACACTGGGATGGGGACAGCACCATGGGCATGGGGAGGTGGCCATGGGGACATGGTCAGAGGGCACTGGGATAAGAACATCACCATGGGCATGGGGACAGGGACAGCACCGGGAGCAAGGGGATGGGGACACTGGGACGGGGACACCACCATTGCCATGGGGCTCATCCCCACCTCAGCTGGGCCATGGCAATGAGGGGACGCGGCCACCACTGCCCCCATTGGGAAGGGGATCCCAAAGGATGTCACCAGGATGGGATGGGACAAGGACCCTCCATGGGGCCCAAGTGCAATGGGACCAATCCCCCCCCAATGTCCCCATTCAGGTGATCGAGATCGACAGCGCCTGGCTGCTGGAGGTGGCCCCCCATTACTACCAGGCCAAGGAGCTGGAGGACGGCAGCAGCCGCAAGATGCCCAAGAAGGTCGGGAAGAGCCGGGAAGAGCTGGGATGAACCCATGGGGGACCCCAAGAGCCCATTGGGGACCCCAAGAACCCATTGGGGACCCCAAGAGCCCATTGGGGGACCCCAATACAGCGGCAGCACGGCTCCATCCATGGTGTTTATTCTGTACATTAAGTTAAGGGGGCACCGGGGGGGTGATGGTGGGGGGACAATGGGGGGGTTCAGGGGTCCCCCGGGGTGGCCGAGGAGGGCTTCATAGCGAGGTGCAGGGGGGGCACCGGTGGTGGCACCGGTGCCGAGAGCGCGGCCACCGCGGCGGCCACCAACAGCTTCTTGTCCTGGGCCAGCGGCGTCGGGGCCGGCATCAGCTGTGGGGACAGAGAGAGGGATATGGGGGGAAATGGGGGGAATGGGGGGAAATGGGGGGAAATGGGGGGGAAATGGGGGGGAATGGGGGGGCTGGAGCCAGTCCTACCTTGTCCACGCGGTGGCAGCGGATGAGCCCCTGCGAGTTGAGGAAGAAGGTGGAGAAGGCGTCGTAGGACCTGGGGAGGATGGAGGCAAGGAGGGGGACATTGGGGGGGGGATATGGGGCTGGTCCCCAGGGGTGACAGGGATGTGGGGCTGGAATGAACCCTGGTCCCCCAGGGGTGACGGGGATGTGGGGCTGGAATGAACCCTGGTCCCCCAGGGGTGACAGGGATGTGGGGCTGGAATGAACCCTGGTCCCCAGGGGTGACAGGGATGTGGGGCTGGTGTTGCAGCCTATGGAAGGAGGGGGATGCAGTTACAGGGACAAAGGGGGTGATGGGGGCAAAGGGGACCCAAGCTCTTGTGCCATAGGGAGAGAAGGGATGGGGTGATGGAGGGGTGGCAGGGGGATGACTGGGTGTCAGTGGGTATCAGTGGGTGTCAGGGGATGTAATGGGTACCAGTGGGTATCAGTGGGTATCAACGGGTGTCAGTGGGTTGTCAATGGGTGTCAGTGGGTGTCAGGGGATGTAATGGGTACCAGTGGGTAGCAGTGGGTGTCAATGGGTACCAATGGGTATCAGTGGGTGTCAGGGGATGTAGTGGGTATCAATGGGTGTCAATGGGTACCAGTGGATGTCAATGGGTATCAATGGGTACCAATGGGGTACCAACGGGTATCAATGGGTACCAGTGGGTATCAGTGGGTACCAGTGGGTACCAGTGGGTGTCAGTGGGTGTCAATGGGTGTCAACGGGTGTCAATGGGTACCAATGGGTGTCAGTGGGTACCAATGGGTACCAACGGGTGTCAACGTGTGCCGTGCCCATCACTGACCGCAGCAGGGTGGCCTTGTCCCTCCGGTAGAAGCGCAGCATGCAGAGGTGCAGGGGCAGCCCCGTGAGGCGCCAGCGGGCCCGGATGCTCCAGTCCTCGGGGTGCCGGGTGAGCGCCAGCACCTCCAGCCTCAGGCTGGCGAAGTACCCCCAGGCCAGCGCCCGGCACAGCGCCACCGCCACCTGGTACATGGGCCGGCCCCTGCAGTGGGGATGGAGGGGGGTCACAGCGCGTCCCCATGGACCCCCATTGGGTGCTATGGGGCTGGGGGGGTCACTCACCGCGTGTGCAGGTGCAGGAGGTGGTTGATGAACTCCACGTCGTGGGAGTAGAGGCCGTAATCGGGGATCTTGAGGAAGAAATTGGGGAGCTGGGGAAGGGGGGGATGAGGATGGGGATGAAGGAGCAGCCTTCATAGGGGGCATGAACCCCATAGGGCAGCGCAATGGGGGTGAGCCCCCCATTGGAATCACCTCGTGCTGCAGCTTCTGGTGCATGACGGCCAAGTGCTCCTCCATGGATGGGGGCTGGCGGGGAGCGCGGGGTGCGGTTCCGTTGGAGCCCCGCAGCAGGAGCAGAGCGGAGGCCCCCGGCCCGTCCCGCACCGCGATGTCGTCCTCGCTCCGCCCGTCCACGGTGGTGAAGGCGCCGCCGAGCCCCTCCGGTGGGGACAGCGACAGCGGCGGCGGCGGCGGCTGCAGGGCCGGGACGTGGCCACCGGGGGGCGCCAGGTCCTAAGGGAGCCGGAGCGCGCTGCGGACACTCGGGACACCGCAAAGCCCCGCCCACGGCATCCGGATCCCGCCGGTGAGATTTGCATAGCCACGCCCCCAAAGGTAGAGAGGCTCGCGCGAATCACAGCAGCTCATTTGCATAGCCATGCCTCCAAACACGATAATCCATATAGGCACATCTCATTTGCATAGCCACGCCTCCAAACACGGAAATGCATATTGGCACATCTCATTTGCATAGTCACACCTCCAAACAGAAGCAATTCATATTTGCACAGCTCATTTGCATAACCACGCCTCCAAACAGAAGAAACAATCAGGATTGACACCGCTCATTTGCTTAGCCACGCCTCCAAGCAGCATAACCAATTCATATTGGCACAGCTCGTTTGCATAACCACGCCTCCAAAACAGTACAACCCTTTCAGATTGGCACAAGCCGTTTGCATAGCCCTGTCTCCAAACAGAAGCCATTCATATTGGCAGCTCATTTGCATAGCCAAGCCTCCAAGCAGAAGCAATTAGTATAGGAACAACTCATTTGCATAGCCACGCCCCCCAAACAGCAGGATTCATTCCTATTGGTGCAGCTTATTTGTATAGCCACGCCTGCATGCAGTAGACCCCCATCCCTATAGATATCTCTCATTTGCATAGCCACACCTCCAAACAGCAGGACTCATTCCTATTGGCTCAGCTCATTTGCAGAACCACGCCTGCATGGAGCAGACCTATCCCTACATTTGCATAGCCACGCCTCCAAACAGCAGGACTCATTCCCATTCGCTCAGCTCATTTGCCTACTCACACCCTCTTCTTCTTCGCGAGCATCTCATTTACATAGCCCCGCCTCCACGCAGCAGAACTCACTCATATTGGCCCAGCTCATTTGCATAACCACCCGTCCTCCCGTCCCCTATTTGCATAGCCCCTCCCACTCCCCCTCTTTGCCTGGCCCCGCCCGCTCTCCCCTCACCTGCGGGCGCGCTCGGTACCGGCGGCGAGGGGGCAGCTGCTCATGCGCGGGGCGCTCAGGCCGGGGCCAGGCCCGGAGCCGGGCGGCGGCGGCGGCGGCGGCTGCGGCCCGGCCCTGCCGGTACATGGCGGAGCCCCCCCCTTGCGCCTCCGGCCGGCGCTCGCACTGCTCATGCGCGGCGCGACCACGGCTCCGCCCACAGCGCGCAGGCGCGGGAGGAGGAGGGAGGTGGCGGGCGCGCGTGCGCACAGGGACGGGCAGCGCCGGGGAAGGTGACCGGGAGGGAGCGCTCTGCGCATGCGCGTCCTCATTCATTCGTCTTGCTTTCCCCCTCCATTCATTCCCCTTAGGGGGCGGAGCCAGCTCGCCGCTCAGCCAATAGGAACGGGGCTCTGCTTCCGGGTGGGGGGTGTGGATTCATGAAGAGACCACGCCTCCCCGATGACGTCACCGCCCGACACAACACGCGAGCCAAAGCTGAAATTCACCGTTTTTATTGAAACGTAACCAAAACGGGGAAAGGGGCAGGGGCTGTGGGACCCACAGGGGGTGTGGGGCAGGGACGGGCACCCATAGGGCAGGAATGGGTCCCCATTGGCGCTGTGGGGTGAGGACGGGCACCCATGGGGGCTCCATGGGGCAGAGACCGGCACCAACCATGGCAGTGGGGCAGGACCAGGCACCCGTGGTGGCTGTGGGGCAGGAATTGGGACACCCCCCCCCCCCCCAGTGGGGCTGGGACGGGCACTTGCAGGGGGCTGTGGCATGGGGGCAGGCACCTATGGGGCAGGAAGAGGCACCCCCAGGGATCCATGGGGCAGGACGAAGACACTGTAGGGCAGGTATGGGCCCCCCCCACTGGAGCCGCGGGGGGAAGGAACGGGGGCTATGGGGCACCCCACATCCCCCAGCAGACACGAGCCCCCCAAGGCCCTGCCGTGGGGCTCAGCGGCCGACGCGCCCGAGCGAGCTGCAGGGGGAAGGGGATGGGGGGGAAGAGGGGGGAGAGAAAACAGCGCAAAAGAGAGAGGAAAAAGGGGTGAAAATTGAGGCAAAACCCAGCGAAGTTGGGAAAAAGCCGCGCGGAGCCGCAGGGACCCACCTGGAGCGGCGGGGGGGGGGCGCGGGGTCCGCGCCTCCATCCGGGTCCCGGCGGAGCAGGAAGGGCCGGAGGCTGCCGCGCACCGGGGACCCCCCCGGGCGGCCGGGGCTGAGGTTGAAGGGCCAGGGAGGCTCCGCCTCCTCCCGCAGGACTGCATGGGATTGGTTGAGGTGAAGGGGGGAAGCTCCGCCCCCTATGCCTTAATTCCCCCCCTCATTGGTCACTTACAGTCGCGCTCCGATAGGGAGTAGGGCTTGATCTGCTCCTCGGGGCGCTTGGGGGGCGGGCGGCGGTGGGCGGGGGCTGTGGGGAGCGGGGTTAGGGGGAGGTTGGGGGGCGCAGGGACCCCCAATGCCCCCCCCATCACTCACCGGGGCGGTTGGAGAAGAAGCCTTCGAAGATGACGAAGTTGTTGACCTATAACAGTGGATATGGGGGGGGATTGTGGATTAAACCCCCCCAATGTGTTTCTATGGGGCACCCCATAGCAGCCGGGTGTTACCTGTGGGATGGCATCCTCCAGCCCATAGTGCTTGTGCAGGAAGGCCAGGAGCTTCGCCGAGGGTCTGTCCACAGCCAGGCGCCAGGGCTCTACCCGCTCGCTCTATGGGGTGATGGAGGCGTTAAAAGGGGGGGTCCCCAATGTCCCTATGGATGGATGGGGGGTCCCCCCCCCGCTTTGGGGGGTACCTGCAGCATGTGATGGAAGAGCTCCCGCCCGTAGCCATGGCGCTGCAGGGATTCATGGATGTAGAAATCCAGCACGCACAGGGGCTCCGCTTCAATGTGGGCACCGGAGCGGTCCTGGGGGGGGGGCACCCAATGGTTGCTAAGGGGGGGGTATGGGGGTGCTGGACCCCCCCCCCCCCACCCCAAGCACTCACCAATAGGAAGAGCTTCTTGTAGCCAACCTTGAGGAAGCCAATGACAGCGCCCTTGGGGGCCCTGGGGGGCAATGGGGAGATCTATGGGGGTTGTCAATGGGGGTTATGGGGGTGTCAATGGGGGGTTATAGAGGAGTCAATGGGGGTTATAGGCGCATCAATGGAGAGCGTTAATGGGGCTGTCAATGGGGTCTATGGAGGTGTTAATGGGGGTGTCAGTGGGGGGTTATGGGGGTGTCAATGGGGATCAATGGGGGTGTCAATGGGGGTCATCAATTGGGGGTTATGGGGGTGTCAATGGGGGGTTCTGGGGATGTTAATGTAGGGCTACGGGGGTGCCAATGGGGGGTTATAGAGGAGTCAATAGCGGTTATGGGGGCGTCAATGGAGGATGTCAATGGGGTCTATGGGGGGGTCAATGGGGGTTATGCGGGTGTTAATGGGGTCTATGGAGGTGTTAATGGGGGGTCAATGGGGTTGTCAATGGGTGTCAATGGGAGGTTATGGGGCTGTCAATGGGGGTCATCAATGGGGATGTCAAAGGGAGTCATCAATTGGGTGTTATAGGGGTGTCAATAGGAGATATGTGGGTGTCAGTGGGGGGTTATAAGGGTCTCAATGGGGGGATCAATGGGGCGTCAACGAGGGTGTCAATGGAGGTTATGTGGGCGTCCACGGGGGTCTATAGGGGGATCAATGGGGCATCAATGGGGGTCTATGGGGGATCAATGGGGGTCTATAGGGGGATCAATGGGGCATCAATGGGGGTGTCAATGGGGGTCTGTGGGGGATCAATGGGGGTCTATAGGGGGATCAATGGGGGATCAATGGGTGTGTCAGTGGGGTCTCTGTCAGCGTCAATGGGGCTATGGGGCAGAGGCTCACCCCCGGCCCTCGGGGTCCCGCAGGATGTACAGGACGTGCCGGTTGGTCTCCATGCGGCTGGCGCTGGTGACGGGGGACGGGAGGCCCTGGGCCTGGGGGGCAGAGCTGTTACCCCCATTGACCCCCTTCACCCCCCCAGTGACCCCATCACCTCCCCATTGACCCCCATCAGCCCCCATCACTTCCCCATTGACCCCCATCACTCCCCCATTGACACTCATCGCTCTCTATAACCCCCTCATTGCCCCCATTGCATCCCCATCAACCCCCTAATGATCCCTATTGCCTCCCATCACCCCCCTATAGCCCACACCACCTCTCATCACCCCCCCATTGCCCCCTATAGCCCCCCATCACCCTCCTATTGTCCCCTATAGCCCCCTAATAGCCTTTTATTGTCCCCCCATTCATTTCCCATTGCCTCCCATCGCCTCATTGCTGCCCATCACCCCCCCATTGCCCCCTATAGCCCCCCATCACCCTCCCACTGTACCCTATAGCCCCCCATAGCCCCCCCATGGCCCCACCTTGGCCGAGGCCTTGCCCAGCTCATCAATGACCGTCCTCAGCTGCTGCTCCAGGTCCCCTCTGCTCCATGGGGGGGGGGGGGAACACAGACACGGTCACCCCGAGCCGCCCCCGATTGACCCCCACCATGGGTCCGCCGGTATCCCAGCATGCCCCGCGCTAAGCCCCCCACCCTCTTTGTCTCCCAGCATGCCCGCTGGCCGCGGTGCCGGTACCGGTGGGCGGGCCCTCGCCGCCCCGCGGGCCGCAGGTGCTGGTCCACCACACAGAACCGGTCCCCCAGCACCGGGCCGAGGTCGAACGGGAACTCCATGGCCGCTGATCCCGGTTCCGGGGGCCCGGGCCCGGCCCCGCCGCCGCCTCCTTCACCAGCCGGGCCCGGCCCTGCCGCGCCAAGCCCGACTGCTGCAAGCCACGCCCCCCCAACAACCCCGCAGCCAATCGCTGCCTCCGCTTTGCCCTCCCCTAGCAACAGGCCCCACCGCCCAATAAGCAGCAAAGCACGACGGGATATATCCCCCCTCTCGCCACACACGCTCGCCGCCATTTTGTGGCGCCGGCAGCCATTTTGTGAGCGCCGTGCCTCAGTTTCCCCCAGGGGAAGAAGATGACGCCGGGACATGGCGGGGGGGGTGAAAACGCTTTTATTGCCCCTCAACCGGGGCCGCGGGGGTGCCGGAGGCCGCTCCTTCCTTCAGGTAGTTCCGGTATATGCGGCGGATGCGGGCCACGGCGGCGGCGGGGGGCTGCTGCCACTCGTACCAGGGGTACCAAGGCTGAGGGGGAGCCAGGCCGGGCCGCGGGGGGGTCCTGCTCACGGCCGGGTGCCGGTTGGTGAAGTCCCCTTGGGGTGTGGGCACGAAGGGCACCTGCAGCCAGAGCAGGCCTGCAATGGGGTGAGGGGCTGGGGGCACCCATGGGTGCTGAGCACCCCCCCCCAGCACCCATTATAGGGCCTCACCGTGGTCCTGGGCCTGCGCGATGGCCTGGGAGAGGAGCTTGTGCTGCTTCATGCAGACCCCTGCAGGGGAAGGAGATGGGCGCCGCCATGGCACCCATGGGTGTCTATATAGCATCTATGGGGGTCACTATAGCACCCACGGGTGATGCTGTGGCACCTATGGGTGATGCCATGGCACCCATGGGTGCTGCTATAATGCCTATGGGTGCCACTCTAGCACCTCTGGGAGTCACCATAGCAGCTATGGGTACTCCTATAGCACCTATGGGTGTCACTATAGCGCCTATGGGAGTCACTATAGTGCCTACGTGGGTCACTATAGCACCTATGGGGTTCTCTATAGCATCTATGGGGGTCCTATAGCACCTATGGGGGTCCTATAGCACCTATGGGTGTCACTATAGCGCCTATGTGGGTCCTATAGCACCTATGGTTGCTAGTATAGCATGTATGGGGGTCACTATAGTGCCTACGTGGGTCACTATAGCACCTATAGGGGTCACTGTAGCACTTATGGCTGTTGCTATAGCACCTATGGTTGTCACTATAGCACCCATGAGTGTCACTATAACATATATACGTGTCATTATAACACCCATGGGTGTCACTATAACATACAGATGTCACTCTGGTACCCATGGGTGCCACTACAGCACCTATGGGTGTCACTATACCACATAGCAGTGTCACTACAGCACCCATGAGTGTCACGATACCACGTGGAAACGTCATTATAGCACCCACAGGCGTCACTGTAGCACCCATGAGTGTCCCAATGACACGTGTAAGTGTAATTACGGCACCCATGGGTGGCCCCTACCTGTGCGTGTGGGGTGGAAGATGATGCCTGAGTGCGGGCAGATGAACTGGTCCAGGAGCTTCACGTTCTGTGGGGATGGAGAGGAGGAAAAGGGGAGAAAAAGGTGGAAAAGGGGAGGAAAAAGGAAGGAAAAGGGCAGGAAAAGCCCCCCCCTTACCCTATAATGCACGTGGAGGTTGTGGTCCCGGCAGATGGGGCAGGGGTTCCCCACTGGCTTCCCCTTGCGCTGCAGGGGGGGGGATGAATACGGTCAGAGGGGAACCCCCTGCCCCACATCCCCCCCCACCTGCCCCACATCTCCCCCCCCCCCGTCCCCCCTCACCACACAGGACTTGCGGGTGCGCTGGGGGGGGATGGATCCTTTGTGGTTGCGGCGGTAGCCAAACCAGACGGGTTGGTCGCCATAGGTGGCACGGTACTCTGTGGGGGGGGGATGGACACAACACAGGAGGGTTTTGGGTTGGTTTGGGGGTATTTTGGGGTTTTTAGGGCGCTGATTTTGGGGTGTTTCGGGGTGTATTTGGGGATGGGGACCCCCCCAATACCTTCGCTCTCCAGGTACTCCCAAGGCCGCTCCTCGTAGGGGCTCGGGGGGGGTTTGGCTGCTTCCTGGGTGCTGCAGAGGCGGGGGGTGTCCTGGGGGGATGACGTCACGGCGATGACGTCACGGCGGTGACATAACGGCGTGATGCTTCTCCCCCCTCCCCAATATCAACCCCCACCCCGGTCACCTGACGGGAGCCGCTGTGACGTCACACCGCGAGGAAAGGGGAGGCCGGCGCTAGCGGTGACGTTGCCTATGACGTCACAGCCCAGCTCCCGTGACCTGCCCGCCCGCACGTGGCACAGCACCGGGCCCCGTTTCGTTCCGATCGCTGCCCCGGTTCCCCCCCCCCTCCAATGCCCGGTTCCCCCTCCCCTCTCCCCGCGCCTCACCCGAGCCCACAGCGGCCGCCCCAGTGCCCGCAGGCCGGCTCCGGCCGCCCGCAACAGCGCCACGCTCCTGGGCAGCGCCATCTTTGCCGCCGATCCACCGCTAGGCCCCGCCTGCCCCGGGGTGTGGCGAGGGGCGGGGCGCCGCCATCTTGTTGTACGGCTCCACCTCCCCCTCCGCGCATGCGCGGTGCCCGCCGCTTGAATTAAAACTGCGCCACACCGTTGTGGGGGGTGCGGGGCTGAGGACGCAATAGCGCGCTGCCACTGCGCATGAGCAATCCGCAAGGGTGGGCAGTGCGGAGGCTTCGGCGCAGGCGCGGCCGTGCGTGGTGGGCGTGTCCCGCTATAAAAGCAACCGCCCGCGCTCCCCGCCGCCATTCTGAGGGCTGGGTGAAGGTGAGTAAAGACTTGCGGCAGGCGTGGGGGGGCCCAATGGGTGGGCGCTGTGGGGCGGGGGGGGTCCCCTTTTATATCGCCATCACCCCCTTTGCATTGAGCACGTGGCTGTCTCCCCCCCTTTCCCCATCCCCCGTCGCTGGGGGGGCCGTCGGGGGCGCCCTCAGCTTCCCTCAGCGCTGAGGTAAATCCCCCCCCCCCCTTTCAAAGGGCGATTTCCTTCGGCTTTTTTAACACCCCCCCCTTTAAAGCTTTAACCGGGGATGAGTGCTAATCATTTCGTGTCTTTTCTTCTTTGCTTCTAATTTTTTTCCATTATTTTTTTATTTATTGTGCCCCCACCCCACCCACCCCCTTTTCTCCTGTTGTTTTTTTGTTTCTCCTTTCCCCGCTCCAGGTTCGGTTGCTCTGGAAAGACGCCGGCGCCTTTACCACGAGAAAACAAAACAAAACACACAAAAACAAAACAAAACAAACAAAAAAGAACAAACAAACAAAAAACAAAATATATAAAATCTCTAAAAATACAACAACAACAGCAACAAAAAAGCCAACAAAAAGGGGAGGAAAAAGCTCGCTTCCCCCTTCCCTTTCCCCCCTTCCCAACTTCCCGCCCGGTGCCGTGGAAGAGCCGCCATCGCAGCCTCCGTCCTTTGGACCGCCCTTGGGAAGCCGTTGCAAACCTGAAGGAAACTGCCACTTAGAAACATATCCCCCTCCTTTCTTCTTTCCCCTCTTCCCAGCCCCAAAATCCAAAGGGAAACAGCCAAAACTCCCTGATTTTTTCCGATTTTTTCCGCAAGCTTTTTGATTCTTTTTGCCACCATTTAACGCGACAAAAGCCACTCTTATAGGGAAAAAAACAACCCCAAACCCCCTCCCTTCTGCAGCCCCAAAGCTGCCTTTTTTCCAACCATGACCCAGCCCACAGCAGCTCTTTTTTGGCTCTGAGCACCCCACCAATGCCTAAACCAAAACCTTGAAGCGCAGTCGGCGAGCAAAATAATTGGATAGTAAGTGTTGAATTTCCAACCAGCTCAACCCCCCCCCTTCAAATAGCCCCCCAAAACCCCTCAAAACCACCCAAAAAAGAGCGTAAAGAACGGGAGGAAGGTGTTGGAGGACGCTTGGCCAAAGAGGTTTCAACCGATGCGGGCTTTACCGGGTCCCCAAACCGACCCCAAACCCCCCCCCAAATTGCTCCGAATGCCCCCAAAACGGGGTTTAATGGTGGGGCTCGAGCAATCTGTCCATAAAGATTGCGGAGGGGGGGGGTGGAGGTTGGGGGGGGGAGCGGTGATGCTCAAAAATTGATTTATTTTCTTATTTCTTTGTGTTTTTTAGGTGCCATTTTAGGAGTGGTTTTGCGCAGAGAGAAAGGGGAGAGCGCGCGTGGTTGGGGGGGGGGGATGGTTAAAACGTGGTTCAGTGGTGCCGGGGAGGGGGGTGTAATGTAGAAATAAAGCTCAGGCAGGTGTAGCCGGACCCAAAATCCTGCTTTTTTCAAGCAAAAAAGAACGAGGTTGCTTAAAAAACACCCTTAAATCCAACCCCCCCCCTTCTCCTCCATAAAGGCAGCTCCGGGTGAGGGCCAAGATGGCGCGGCTGCTGCCCGCTCTTTGTCTTTGCCTTTAACTCCTTTGCTCCCTTCCCCCCCCTTTTATTGATTCATTTCATAGCGATTTATTCCATTACAGGTCGGGGGGGGGCTTTGAACCCCTATTTAATACCAGTGTTTTTAGGGGGGGTCCCCAATCTTTAATGAATTGGGGAGGGGGGGGTGCTGTGGTTGACTTGGCGGCCGCGGTGTGGGCAATGGGGGGGGGTTATGGGGGTATTGCTGTTAATGTGTGTTCCCCCCCCACCCTTTTTCCCCCCCGAACCCCCCCCAATTTGGTTGTTTTTGGCTCCTAAGATGGCGCCGGGGCCTCGCCGCCGGCCCTGGCTGATGCAACCACCCAAACCCCTCCCACCGCGCCGCCGGCCAGGGCCCCCCCAGACCTTCACCCCCCCCTTTCCTTACCCATCCTTTTCCCTTCATTCCCCCCCTTTTCCTTGCATTTATCCCAATCCCATTCCCTTAAACCCCCCCCTCGGCTTTCATCCGCAGGACTCTGGTGCCGCACACAGTGGGACCTTGCTTCTCTTGGTGGTTGTGCCCAAAACCCCCCTTTTTCTCCTTAAAAAAAGCAGGATTTGCACTTAATTTCTCGATGATCCCCCCCCCTTTCCTTTTCCCGTCGTTTGCGAGCTCTCCCCATGGGATTTGGGGTGGATTTGAGGGGTTTTTGGTTCATTCTGTGTGTTGCTTGGGGGGGGGGGGCAGCGTTGGCGAGCAACTGATAACCTTGCCTTTATCGTGACAGGGAAATGCTATCACTGGGCTTGACCCCCCCCAAAAAAAGAGCCCTTTTTGGGGGGGCACACCCCAAAACTCCTCACTTTTAGCCCGTTTTCCCCATGACCTTGCCCCCCCTTGGCAGCGTGGAGGTGCTGCGGGCTTTAGGAACAGACAAAAGGCAGGGGAAGAGCAGCACCAAGCGGGTAAGCAACCAAAATCCCCCTTTTTGGTCCCGATTCCATTTCACCCGCTTCATCTTTGAATCCAGGCTTTAACTGGGAATAACCCCCCCAAAACCCCTTCCTTTTGGGCCCTATCCCGGTGCATGCGGCTGCTGCACTGGGTTCAGCCCTCCCCTCCCTGCCCCAACCAACCACGCACCCCAATCTGAAGCTTTTTGGTTAAAAGCAGAGAAAATTCCATCAAATTGGACATTTTTAGGCACAAAATGAAGCGTTTTGGAGCATTTCCCCCCAAATTTGAACCCGGGGGTACAGCCGTTTCCTCCCCAATGTGCTCTCCAGTGATAGCATTACCCTTTGGGGGGGGGCACAGCGGGCTGCCCCCCCCACCTTGTGCTTTTGGGGTCTGTATGACCTCCATCAGAAATGGGGGTTTTGTCCCCCAAAACCAGCATTTGGGGGGGTTCAAACCACGGTGATGGCAATGAGGGGGGGCTGGCGGCTAGGGGTGCTGATAGAGTTGGTGCCCCCCCATTTTGGGGGTGGGATTTACCCCCATTGGGGGACTCAGTGTGTGTTGGGGTCCCTGTCACCCCATGCTGGTGCCTTTGGGGTTGGTGTTTGCTGCTCTGTGACCCCCCCAAAGCCTTAAGGAGTGGGGGCAAAGCCACGGCTGGGCCCCCCTTGTCCTTTGGGACCTCCCATGTCCTGTCCCCCCCCCATAGATTGGTTCCTTTGATGAGGTCAAAGGTTACAGAGGCCTTTGGTGCTTTAAGCAGCCTTTGGGGTTAATGAATTACCCCCAATTAAGAGTTACAGGGGGGGTCGGGGGGGTCCTGCTCCATTTAACCTGCTTTTGTGTCTTTACAGAGGCTCAGCCTGTACCTGGCTCAGCACCCCCCAAAATACCCCCCCAAATTGGGGTGGGGGGGGGCTCTGCTTCCTGTATCCTTTAACCAGCCTGCACTAAGGAAGGCCCAGCTCATTCCTTAAGGATTAAATGGGGGCCACACGGGTGCCCCCCCCAATCCAGGCCAGCCCCACCTCTGCCCTCATTAACTAAGCCAGGCTTAATGAACTTAATGAACCCAGAGCAGCTTCTCATTGACGTCAGTGGCATGACCCCCCCACCCCACCCTGGGGCTGGGTCATTACCAGGGTGTGGGGGGGTGCTAATTAGAGCCTTGGTTGTTAATAGGTGTTGGAGTCATTAATGAGATGGAGGAGGTGATGCTGTTGATGCAATGGGGGGGGGACCCCAAGTCTTGCGCCGGCGCCGCTCCTTGCCCCCCACCTTGCGTCTGTGTCCTTGTGTTGCCCCCTCTTCATTAAGCACCGATTGTTAATTACCCTTTAGGGGGCTCATTTAGCATGGGGGTGCTGCCCCCCCCTCCCATTATGAGGGGGTCCATCCCCTGCTACTGACCTGATGGGGTGACAGTGCCATGAATGGGGCATCCTTTTGTAGGTACCTTTAGGATCCCTTTGGTGTTATCCCTGTGTTAGAAGGGGGGATGGACAAGGGTTAAAGGGGGGACATTGAGGGGGGGTCAGTGCTGTCTTGGGGGTCACTGCTGTCTTAACCCCCCCTTTCTTGTTGTTCCCCCCCCTCAGGGCTCTCCTGCCATGGGCTCGGGCCCCATCGACCCCAAGGAGCTCCTCAAGGGCTTGGATTGCTTCCTGGGCCGCGATGGCGAGGTCAAGAGCATGGAGGGCATCACCAAGATCTTCAAGTGAGTGCCCCCCCATATCCCCCAATGTCCCCCCCATTGTGTCACTGCCATAGAGGGGGGGCTGACCCCTCTTTTCCCCCCATCATTTCCAGCCTGATGAAGGACTCCCAGAAGCTGGTGAGCCGCTGCATCTACCTGAACATCCTGCTGCAGACCCGTGCCCAGGACATCCTGGCCAAGTAAGAGCAATGGGAGCCCATCCAAAGGCTCAGGGCACCCCATTCCCAGCTGCATCCTGAAGGATTCCCCCCCTTTTCCCCTAGGTTCATCCGCATTGGGGGGTACAAACTGCTCAATACCTGGCTCACCGGCTCCAAAGCCTCCAACAACGTCCCCTTCCTGCAGCAGATCCTGCTCACCCTGCAGCATCTGCCTCTCACTGTGGACCACCTCAAACAGGTCGGGGGGCTTTGGGGGGCCTTTTGGGGGGGCTTTGGGATCCCTTTGGGTGCTTTTGGGGACCCCTGGGGTTCCTTTGCTTGTCCTTTGGGTGGCTTTTGTATCTGTGGGATGATTTTGGGGTCCCTTTTTAGATGCCTTTTGGCTCCCTTTTTGGGTGCCTTTTGGGTCCCCTTTTTGCATCCCTTTTGGGTGCCTTCTGGATCCCTGTGGGTGCCTTTAGGATCCTTTTGAGTGCATTTTGGTTGCCTTTTGGTGCATTCTGGGGCACTTTGGATGCTTTCTATCTCCCTTTTTGGGTGCCTCTTGGATCCCTTGGGTGCCCTTTGGATCATTTTGTAGGTGCCCTTTGGGTGCCTTTATGGTGCCTGGATGCCTTTTGGGTCCCTTTGGGTGTCTTTTGGGTGCCTTTGGATCCCTTTTGGTTCCTTGTGGGTCCCTTTGGCCCCTGCCCCTCCGCTCACCCCCATCTCTGCCTGCAGAACAACACAGCCAAGCTGGTGAAGCAGCTCAGCAAGTCCAGCGATGATGAAGGTGAGCACCCCCAGAGAGCCCCCCCAAAACCCCCCATTTACCCCCCTTTCACTCCAGTTTATCTCCCTTAACTCCCATTTACCCCCCTTTACCCCTTTAACTCCCATTTACTCCCCTTTAACCCCCATTTGCCCCCTTTAACTCTCATTTGCCCCCCTTTACCCCCCTTTAACTCCCATTTACCCCCCTTTAACCCCCATTTGTTCCTCTTTACCCCCTTTAACTCTCATTTACCCCCCCTTTAACTCCCATTTGCTGCTCTTTAACTACTTTAACTCCCATTTACACCCTTTAACTCCCATTTGCCCCCTGTTGCCCCCCTTAACCCCAATTTGCCCCCCCTTAACCCCGATTTGCCTCCCTTAACTCCCATTTAACCCCCATTTGCCCCCCTTTAACTCCTCCATTTGCCCCCTTTAACTCCCCTTTAACCCCTCCATTTAACCCCCCTTTAACCCCTCCATTTGCCCCCCTGTAACCCCCTGTCCCCCCCGTCCCCGCAGAGCTCCGCCGCCTCGCCTCCATCCTGGTCAGTGACTGGATGGCTGTCATCCGCTCCCAGAGCAGTGCCCAGCCCAGTGGTGAGCCCCCCCCAGCACCCCCTTCCCTTCCCTTCGCCCCCCCCATTCCACCCCCTCCACCTCACCCTTTCCCATTGCATCTCCTCCAGAACGGGACAAAAAGAAGCGGAAAGAGGAAAGCAAAAGCAAAACCCCCGCCCAGGAGAAGCCCCAGGAGGCCAAAGCTGAGGCCAAGAGCGAGGAGGTGATGGAGAAGAAGAGGGAGAAACCCAAGTCCCTGCGGACCACAGCGCCCAGCCACGCCAAGTTCCGCTCCACGGGTAATTCCCAAGGGAATTCCGGCCTCTTGGGGCTGTTTTGGGGGGTCATGCCCCACTTTGCAGCACCCCACTGACCCTGGTCCCACCCCTGCAGGGCTGGAGATGGAGGTGCCTTCGTTAGTGCCCTTGAAGAAAGTGAACTCTGCTTCCAGCACTGATAAATACAGCCTGAAACCAATGCCCATCAAGAGGCAAAAGTGAGTCTGGGGGGGGTTTGGGGGGTCACTGTGGTGGGTTTAGGGTGCTCAGGGATGGTTTTAGGGTCCTAAAGGCTGGGTTTGGGGTGCTCAGGGCTGGGTTTGGGTGCTCAGGGCTGGTTTAGAGATGCTCAGGGTTGGTTTTGGGTATCTCAGAGCTGGTTTTGGGTACCCAGGGCTGGTTTAGGGGTGCTCAGGGCTGGTTTAGGGGTGCTCAGGGCTGGTTTAGGGGTGCTCAGAGCTGGTTTTGGGTACCCAGGGCTGGTTTAGGGGTGCTCAGGGCTGGTTTAGGGGTGCTCAGGGCTGGTTTAGGGGTGCTCAGGCCTGGGTTTGGGGTGCCCAGGGCTGGTTCTGGGGTCCCTCCTCACCCCTTCCCTGTTCCCCCCCAGCCTCTCCTCGGCCTCCGGCGATGCTCCCCCCGCAGAGAAGAAATACAAACCCCTGAACACGGCCCCCAACGCCACCAAGGAGATCAAAGTCAAGATCATCCCCCCCCAGCGTGAGTGTGGGGGAGCCCTGGGCTGGGTGCGGGGCACCCATGGGTGCTGGGCTTGGGGTGACGCCGCCTCTCCCCCCTTGTCCCACAGCCATGGAGGGCCTGGGCTTCCTGGATGCCCTCAACTCTGCCCCCATCCCCGGCATCAAGATCAAGAAGAAGAAGAAGGTTTTGTCCCCCACCGCGGCCAAGGTGAGGGGGAGATTCCTGGGGTAACGGGGGGCTTTGGTGGGATAACGGGGGGGCTTTTGGTGGGATAACGGGGGGCTTTTGGTGGGATAACGGGGGGCTTTGGTGGGATAACGGGGGGCTTTTGGTGGGATAACGGGGGGGTTTGCTGGGGTAATGGGGCTTCTCCCAGGATCTGGGGGTCTCTTCCTTACCCTGTTCCCTCCCCACAGCCCAGCCCCTTCGAGGGGAAGGCAGCTCCCGAAGCCACCTCCACCAAGCCCTCATCCCCGGAGCCCACCGCGGCCTCGGAGCCCATGGACCCGGACCGGCCCGGGACACCGGTGCCCGCTGTGGAAGTACCGGAGCCCATGGAGACCTGTGAGCGGTGGGGATGGAACGGGTGAACCATTATTGGGGGGTTAAAAGGGGGTGCTGAGGCCTTCGTGCTCCCTGCAGGCCCCTCGGAGGCAGGCGGCGATTCCAAAGGCCTGGAAAACCCTCTGGAAAGCGGGCAGCTCACCAGGAAGGGCCGCAAGAAGAAGACGGTGAGCTGGCCAGAGGAGGGCAGGCTCCGGGAGTACTTCTACTTCGAGCTGGATGAGACAGAGCGAGGTGGGTGCTGCCCTTCCCTAGGCATGGATTGGGAACGGGGGGGTGATCCCAGCCTGATCCCGAGTGACGTTCCCATTGTGGGGACAGTGAACGTGAACAAGATCAAGGACTTTGGGGAAGCGGCCAAGCGGGAGATGCTCAAGGACCGGCAGGCCTTCGAGACGGCGCGGCGCCTGAGCCACGATGCCATGGAGGAGAAGGTGCCATGGATGTACCCCAAGCTCCTGGAGCTCCCGGCTCCCCTCGTGGTGCCGGGCAGTGGGAGCCGGGAGCGCTTCACCCAGGCCGAGAGGGAGAAGGGGATCCTGCAGGAGCTCTTCCTGTCCAAGGAGAGGTGAGCGCATCCCATGGGATCAGCCCCATCTTGGGTTAGGGGTCCTGGTCCCATTCCCGGCATCGGTGGGGCTGGGATCCCTTAGGATCAATGCGCATCTGGATCAGCTCCGCAGCGTTGGGATGGGGCTCCCTATGGATCCAAAGCCTTTGGGATTTGAGGGGATGCCATTGGATCCCTGTGATCACCAACCCCTTTCCCCCCCCTACAGCGTTCCCGACAGCCCACACGAGCCCGATCCCGAATCCTACGAGCCGCTTCCTCCCAAGCTGATCCCATTGGATGAGGTCAGTCCAGCTCCAACCAAACCCCACCCTCTCCCTTCCGACCCCATTGCCCCCATTCCCACCTCTCCTTACCCCCTCCCCAGGACTGCTCCAGTGAGGAAGGGCCTTATCCCGATGGATTGGATCCGGGAGCGGCCTCCCCATCACCTGAGGCCGGTGCCAAGCTCCCACCCGTCCTGGCCAACCTCATGGGAAGCGTTGGAGCCGGGAAGAGCCCCCAGGGCCCGGCCCCGGGTGCAGGCATCAACATGCAGGAGATCCTGAGCTCCATCATGGTATCCGCACCCCATTCCATAGGGATCCAGGGATGGGGGATCTATGGGACCCCCCCATTGAGCCCCTCTCTCTGTGTGTGTGTCCCCCAGGGTGGTCCCAGCACCCACAAGGCTGAGGAGCTCCTCAAGCAACCGGATTACTCGGATAAGATCAAGCATCTCCTGGGGAACCTGCAGGCACCGGGGCCCGGCGGAGGTGAGCGGGAATGTTGGGAACATTGGGAATGCTGGGGGGGGATACAGGGATATGGGGGGGTGGTGGTGGGGGAGATGGTGGAGGGGATGGGGACACTGCCCTAGCATGGGCGTTGGGGTGGCTTTGGCTTGGAGAAGCAATAAGGGCGCTGGTCCTTGTCCCAGCAGGGATACAGGGATGCCTTTGGCTTAGGGATACAGGGATGCTTCTGGCTTAGGGATACAGGGATGCCTTTGGCTTAGGGATACAGGGATGCTTCTGGCTTAGGGATACAGGGATGCTTCTGGCTTAGGGATACAGGGATGCTTCTGGCTTAGGGATACAGGGATGCCTTTGGCTTAGGGATACAGGGATGCCTTTGGCTTAGGGATACAGGGATGCCTTTGGCTTAGGAAGACTGATGGGGACACTGGTCCCTGTCCCATCAGGGATACAGGGATACCTTTGGGTTAGGGCAACCGGGTACAGGGATGCCTTGGCTAGGGATACAGGGATGCTTGGCTTAGGGAACCAACAACCAACAGGGATGCCTTTGGCTTAGGGATACAGGGATGCTTTTGGCTTAGGGGTACAGGGATGCCTTTGGTTTAGGGGTACAGGGATGCCTTTGGTTTAGGGATACAGGATGCCCAGGGATACAGGATGCCTAGATGCCTTTAGGGGTACAGGGATGCCTTTGGTTTAGGAACACTATGGGGACAGTGGTCCCTGTCCCAGCAAGGATACAGGGATGCTTTTGTCTTAGGGACATGATGGGGACACAGATGGGACCGCAGTGTCCTATTCCAGGAGGGATATGGGAATGCCCTTGGTTTAGGGATGTGATGGGGACACTGGTCCCTGTCTCAGCAAGGATACAGGGATGCTTGGTTAAACATCCACAGACTGTGGAGGGGGCCCATAAGGACCAATGGGGGGGTTTAGGGTCCCCCACTCTCCTAACACCCCCCTCTTTCTGTCCCCCCCTCCAGTGCCCCACGGTTTGCTGGGCCCCGGCCCCATGGCCAACGGCTTCCCACCGGGCCCCAAGGCCATGCAGCACTTCCCCCCGGGGGGGCCCATGCCTGGTGAGTGCCCCATAGGGGACAATGGGGGGTGGGGGGGGGGGATGGGACATGGGGGGGGTCACCCCATAACCACCCCCCGCCCCCCCTCACCCTCCTCTCTCCTCTCTCTCCCTGCAGGGCCCCACGGCGGCGGAGGGGGGGGCCCGGGGCTGCCCCCAGGCCCTGGGGGGGGGATGCCCGGGGGGGGCCCCCGGCTGCTGGGGCCGCCCCCTCCCCCACCCCCTCCTCAACGCGGCGGCGACTTCTGGGACCCCCCCGAAGCGGGGGGAGGGGGAGGGGGAGGGGCGATGCGCGGGGGGGGCGGCGGCCCCCACGGTGGGGGAGGGGGCATGCGCGGAGGGGGGGGGCCCTTCCACAGACCCCGAGGGCGCAGCGGGGCCGAGCCCCCCCCGCCCCCCCCGTACCGGTGCCGAGGAGGGGGTGGGGGTGGGGGGGGCCGCAACGGGGGGCCCCCCCCGAGTGGGGGAGGGGGCGGCGCAAGGGGGGGCCCCCCCGGTGATCACGGCAGAGCCCACCCCGGAGAGCACCCCCGCGGCCACGCAGGAGGTAAATGTGGGGGGGGCGGCGGGGGGGGGGCTTGGTTATGGGGGGGGCCCGGCCCCGGCCCTGGTTGGGAGGGGCCTGTGGGTGCCCCCTCCCCCCCACCCCCCCCGCCCCCCCCTTTTCTGCCCCGGTGGCGGGGGGGGGAGCCCCCCCCTCCCCATCACCCCCTGGAGCCCCCCGGGCCGTGGGGCAGGGGCCCCGATTGGCGCCGGCCCCCAATGGGGCTCTAGGGCAGGGAGAGAGGGGAGACCCCCCCCTTCCCCCCCGCCCTCTGCCCCATAGAGCCGCAGGGCATGCTGGGAGTTAAGCCTGGCTCTAGGAGGGGCAGGGGCTATGGGGCTGCCCCATAGCCGTGCACAGGGACCAGCACAGCCCCGTTGCCAGTCTATGGGGCAGAGAGAGGGGTGCTTTGGGGCTCAGCCTGTGGCCCGCAGGGGGTCGGCCCCATTGTGCTTGGGCACCAGCAGGTTGTAGGGCAGGGAATAGGGGTGCTGTGTGGCTCACATCCGCCCCATGGAGAACGCAGCACTACCAGGCTGTGGGGCAGAGATCAGGCACTGTGGGGCTCACATCTGCCCCATGGAGAATGCCCCACCATCAGGCTATAGGGCAGAGATCAGGGCACTGTGGGGCTCTACACCTGCCCCGTAGCAGGTGCAGCATTGAGGTATAGGGCAGGGATAGGTGCACTGTGGGGTTCCCAGTCACCCCCAGCAGCACCCCCTAGGGCAGAGACGAGAGCCTTGTGGGGCTCCTCAGCTGCCCCATAGCGGCTCCACTACCACTCTATGGGGCTCCCAGCCACCCCATAGAGTCCTCACCATCACCCCCCCATAGCGCACAGCTCAAAGCTCTATGGGGCTCCACCATTGCATCCCCTCTGTATCTCTAGACCGCCCCCCTTCCTTCCCCAATGGGGTGCCCCATTGCTGTCCCACACCCGCTGTGGGGCCGGACCCTGATGCCCCCCCTTCATGCCCCCTTTGTCTCACGCAGCCCGGTCCAGCCGCGCCGTCTGCCGCCACTTCCTGCTCAAGGGCAGCTGCAGGTACGAGAACAAGTGTGCCTTCTCCCACCCGCCCCATAGCCGCCCCATAGCTGCCCCATAGCCCCCCCCATAACCCTGCCTCCCCCTCTCGCGCCGCAGCCACCACGTTTATGGCTTCTATGAGGCCTCTTGTGATGCCCCCCCCTTCCCCATTCCCTCCAAGGGGTAATGAGCAGCTATGGGGTGGTGATGGGGTAGGGAATGGTCTCCTGTTGGGGGGGGGAAAGGGGGAGCTATGGGTGTTAATGGCTGCTTATGGGGCGTTAGTGCCCGTCTGTGGGGCAGGGTGATCCCCCTGGGGGTGTTAGTGCCCACCTATGGGGTGTTGATGCCCATCTATGGGGCAGGGTGATCCTCCTGGGGGTGTCAGTACCCCCCCTAAGGGGTGTTAATACCAACTTATGGGGCAGGAAGAACCCTCCTCCGGGTGGCAATGGGCACCTATGGGGTGTAAGCACCCAGCTATGGGGCGGAAATGCCCTCCCTGTGGTCTCCGTCCCCCTTCAAGGGGTGTAAATACCCACTACGGGGTGTAAATAGCCCCCCAGAGATTTTAGCCCCCTCCCCCCCCCGGGGTGTAAGCACCTCCCCAGGGGTATCAATACCAGCTTAGGGGGCACAAACCCCCACTTATGGGGCACATTTACCCACAATAGGGGGGTGTAAATCCTTCCCTACAGGGGGGCCGGTCCCCCCTTGGTGCACCCCGATTTACACCCCCCTTCTGTGTGTACCCCCCTACCCCCATACACTAAATACCCCCCCCTTGCGCCGCCGTTGGGGGGAGGGGCTGCGCCACTGGGGGAGGGGCGAAGGGGGTGGGGGAGGGGCTGCGCCGGAAGCTGTTTTCTGTGAAAACATTGGGTGGGGGAGGGGCGGCGCGGGGCCCCTCCCCCCTTTTGTATATTTTGTACATTAATAATAAACCGATGGTGGAAAAAGGGGCGGGGCCGCCGGTCTGGTCACGTGGTCACTTGGGGGCACAGTCAGAGGTCACTTAGAGCCCACTTGGGGGGCACAATGGAGTCCTATTAAAGGGTCACAACAGGGACACTTAGGGGGCAGAATGGAGAGACTTGGAGGCCCTTTGGGGGGGGCACAGTGAAACCTATTAAGGGGTCATAAGAGAGGCACTTGGGGGCACAATGGAGATCACTTTGGGGGGCACAATGAGGCTATTAAGGGGTCACAATGGGGACACTTGGGGGTCACTAGGAGCCCACTTAGGCACAATAGAGCCATTGAGGTGTCACAAGAGTCACGTAGGGGGCACAATGGAGACACTTGGAGATCACTTTGGGGGGCACAATGGATGCTATTGAGGGGTCACTGAACGCACTGGTTCACTCTGGAACCTACTGACGCACTCAGAATCACTGCACAGCCGCTTTGCACCCAGCTCTTTATTCCAGCCAGGGGTGAGTTGTGGGACAGGGACATCTCTGCCCCACATCTCCCCCCCGAGCCCCCCATCCTCACTCGCGGGGCCGGTGGATCATGACCTCCCCCAAGGCCTCCAGCACCTCCCGTTTGTAATCCTCGAAGTCGCCGTCGATCTGGCTGAGGCCCTGCTCCTCCACCACCCACAGCTGGCAGCTCGTCTCCGTGATCAACCGCGCGTCGTGGCTCACCACGATGACGGCTGCGCGGTGACGTCATCGCCACGTCACGGTGACGTCATCAAACCGTTCCCACCACCGCCTTTCCCCCCCTATCTCACCTCCTTTGTAGTCATTGATGGCGTCAGCCAAAGCGTCAATGGACTCGATGTCCAGGTTGTTGGTGGGTTCATCCTGCCGTGGGAAAAAGGGGTGGAGCCTCAACGCCTGACCACGCCCCTTCCCTCGCTGGCTCCGCCCCCTCCTCCCGTCACTCACCAGGATGAGCACGTCCGGCTCGCGGCACGCCAGCTCCGCGAACACCACGCGCGCCTTCTGCCCGCCTGCGCGAGGGGCGGGGCTCAGCCGCTCGCCTCTCATTGGCTGAGCCTCCCCCCCTCCCTTTTAAGAAGCCACGCCTCATTTCCCACGCCTCCATTCATGCGCACCGGACAGCTTGGCGATCTGCAGCGTGTGTGCGTGGCCCTCCAGGCCGAAGCGGCCCAGGCACTTGCGGGCGTCCTGGTGCGGGAGGTTGAAGCCGCGCTGCAGGTACTCGGCCGCCGTCTCCTCCAGGCGCAGCTGCTCGGCCGCTTGCTGGTTGAAGAACCCCACTTTCTGGGGGGCGGAGCCTCCGTCAGGACACGCCCCTTCTGTTCCACATAGGCTCCACCCCCTCCGCACTCACCAGCCGATGGTTCCTCCGCATCTGCCCCCGTGTCTGCGGGACAGCATCGTTATTAGAACGGGTTGGGTGGGGGGACATCCCCAAACCCCTCCTTGTGCCCCCCATCCCGTTATAGAAGGGGGGGGTCCGTACCGGGGTGAGCTGCCCGGTCAGCAGCTGCAGCAGTGTGCTCTTCCCCACGCCATTGGGCCCCACGATGCAAACTGGGGGTGGTATAAAGGGGGGCCGGTTCAGATGGGCTGGGTCATTGCTGCCCCCCCACTTCCCCTTTGTTTACGTAGGGTCTCACCCCTCGAGTCCATGTCAATGCCGAAGTCCAGGTTGCGGAACAGCAGCTCCTGCCCCTCGTAGCCAAAGTCAACCCCTGGACATAGGGGGGGGGAATGAGAGGTTGGGGTCCCCCCCAACCACCCCATAACCACCCCATAGCCGCCCCCCAAGCGCCGGTACCGTGGAGGCCGAGGATGGGGGGGCTCAGAGGGGGTGGGTTGGGGAAGGTGAAGCGCACGGTGTATTCCCGGGGCCTCTTGAGCAGCTCCGGGGCCTCGGCTGCCTCCTCGTCCGCCCCCCGGCGCCGGCACTTCTGCTGCTTCCGCGTCAGCGCCTCCTTGGTCTGCTTCTCCTGAGGAGCATCCCATGGGAAACCGCATGGATCCATGGGTAAATCCCTTCCGAGGGCGCCTCCATTGATGGGAACGCGCACCCCAAACTCACCGCCTGCTTGGTGGACTTGCCCCCGGCTTTGAGGTCCCGCAGCTTCTTCTCCTGCTTCTCAAACTGCTTGAGCAGCTCCTTCTGCTTCTGCTGGTACATCTTCTTGAAGGTCACTGCAAGGGGGATGCCGAGGGGTAATTACCCCCTTTAACTGCCCCACACCCCCCGGTAATTGCCCCCATACTCACTGTAGTTGCCCCGGTAGTAGAAGAGGCGCTGGGCATCCAAGTGGATGATGTCGGTGCAGACATCATCGAGGAAGCCTTGATCGTGGGACACCACCAGCAGCGTCTTCTTCCAGGTCTGCAGGTAACTGGGACCACAGTGGGGTGGGGGGCACATTGTGGGGACTCCCCCTTTTTGTGTGTGTGCCCCCCTTTTCACCCCCTGTTCTCACTTATTGAGCCAGATGACAGCGTTGAGGTCCAGGTGGTTGGTGGGCTCGTCCAGCATCAGCAGCGTGGGCTCCATGAACAAGGCACTGAACAAGGCACCGTTGATGGATGGGGTTTGGGGGTGCTTGTGCTGTACCCCCCCCCCCCAGAACCCCATCACTTACCGTGCCAGGGACACCCTCATCCGCCACCCCCCGGAGAACTTCCTGGTGGCTCTGTTCTGCATCTCGGGGTTAAAACCCAGCCCGGCCAGGATGCGCCGGGCCTTGGCCTCGGCCGCGGCCGCGCCGATGGCTCGGAGCTCCTCATACACCTGCATTGGGGTCAATGAGAGCCAAGGGGGGGTCTATAGGGTGCCCCCCCCACCCCACAGACATCAATGGGGCCGGTACCTTCTCGAGGCGCTCGGCGGCCGCGTCCTCCCCGCGCTCCAGCAGCGCCTGCAGCCGCTTCTCCTCCTCCAGCAGCCGGAGCCGTTTGGTGTCGGCCTTGAGCACCGCCTGCACCGCGGGGGTGTCGTCGGCCACCACCTCTGGGGACAAGGAGGGGGGGGTTTAGGATGGGTTTCGGGGGGTTTGGGGAGGGGTTAGAGGTGTTTTTGGGGGTGTTTCGGGTGGTTTTTGTGGGTGGTTTTGGGAGGTTTTCAGAGCATTTTGGGGGCTGTTTTGGTTGTTCTGGGGGTGTTTTGTGGGTGTTTTTAGGGGTGTTTTTGGGTGTTCTCATGTTTTCGGGGTGCTTTAGAATTGTTTTAGGGGTGTTTTGGGGTGGTTTTGGGTGTTCTGGGGGTGTTTCGAGGGTGTTTCATGGATGTTTTGGAGTTGTTTTAGGGGTGTTTTTGGTGTGTTTTAGGGGTGTTTTGGATGTGTTTTGGGGGTGTTTTGGAGGTGTTTTAGGGGTGTTTTGGTGTGTTTTAGGGGTGTTTTGGGGGTGCTTTTGGGGTGTTTTGGTGTGTTTTACGGGTGTTTTGGGGGTCTTTTGGAGGTGTTTTAGGGTTACCGGGGACACAGCCCCCCCCGGACCCACCTTGCTCGCAGAGCAGCACATCAATGTTGGGGGGGATGCTCAGCGCCCGGTTCGCGATGTGCTTCAGCAGCGTCGTCTTCCCCTTCCTGGTGCCAAAGGGGGGCTTCGAGGCTGCCATTGACCCCCATAACCCCCCCCTCCCACCACCCCACAGCACACCTAAGGGGGGGGGGGCACCCACCCATTGGGGCCTACGAGCCCATAGCGGCGCCCGGCCACGATGTAGAGGTCGGCGTTGACGTAGAGCTCCTTGCCATGGGCGGAGATGCTGAACTTCTCCAGCTGGGATAGGGAGGGATTTGGGGGGGGGGATCAGGCCTCCGAACCCCCCCCTTCATCCCAGCACCCCCCTTTCCCAGTGCAATGGTAGGGGCCGAAAGGCTTCTTCTCCCCAACAGAATGGGGGGTTCCAGGTCCCACACCGCTTCCCCATTGCAATGGGACGGTCCAGTCCCCCCTTTCCCCAGTATAATGGGAACCAATTGGGAACCAAGTTCCCAATATAATGGGTTCACCCAGCTCCCCCCCTTCCCCATGTCCATAGCCCATTCCATCCCCCCCCAATTTCCCATTACAACAGCGCAGGGTGAGGGGGGACGACACAGGACGTAACCAGATTTTGGGGTGATTTAGGGCGGTTTTGGGGCCCACCTTGATGTCGGAGGCGTTCTCCAGCATGGCCTGGCGCGACGAGAGCTCGGCCTGGGACACCGAGAAGTCCTCCTCGCCCGCTGCTGCCGCTGCCTTGATGGTGGCGACCTGGCGCTCGTACTCCATCTTTGGGAGGGGGGAGAAAGGGAAAGGGGGCGTGGTCAACGCTAAGCCACGCCCCATCCCCCATAGCCACGCCCCTTTGGTACCCAGGCCCAGCCTCCTTTACCTGCTTCTTCATCTTCTTCTTCTCTTTCTTGCTGATGCGGGCGTCGGGCTCTGCCTTCCTCCCCTCCTCCTCCTCCTCGGGCTGCAGCAGGGGACACCCCACACCCCCCAGCCCCACATCAGCCCCACAGCATCTGGGGACTGGGGGTGGGCTCCTTCCTTCCCCTCATCCCAAGGCACTCACAGGTTCGTTGCCCTTCTGGGGCTCTTCGGCCTCATCTTCCTCATCCTCATCCCGAAGGGCTGTGAACTTGTTCTGGGGGGGGGACATGAGACAGTGTAAGGGGGATGTGGGCCCTTAACACCCCCCCCCCAAAGAGGGAACCCCCCCTCCTCACCTTCCTGCCTTTGGGTTTTGTATCCTCATCAGAGCCTTCGGCCTCATCCTCACTGGGGGCTTTTCCCTGTGGGGAAACAGGGATTGAGAGGCCAAAGTGTGGGGACCCCCCCCTCAATGTGGTGCCCCCTCCCCACAGCGTCCTTCACCTGCCGCTTGCTCTTGGTCTTCTCGTTCTTCCGGCTCTTCCTCTTCTTCTCCCCCTCCTCTTCCTCCTGCTGGAGCCACCGGAAGTGGGAATCAGGGATGTGCAGGACCCAGGCTTCGGGGTGCCCCCTGGGCAGCCCTGTCTGTCCCCCCCCCCCCAACCTTATGGCTTTTGCCCTTGCCAGGCCGCGGGGCTGCCTCCTCCTTCCTCTTCTCCTCCTCCTCTTCCTCCTCGCTCTGCTCTTGATTCAGCGCCGCAAAGACATTGCCACCCTGGGGGGGGGGGGGATCCCAAAGCGTTTCCTTCCCCTTCCCAACATTCCAAAATATCCCAATTTCTGCTCCTTTTCCCCCTTGTTTTGGCATCCCCCGCCCATGCGCTCACCTTCCTCCTCCTCCCCCCTTTCCTGGGTGCTGGAGCTGTGGGCGGAGATGAAGGGGATGGAATCAATGCAGGATCGTGGAGCTCCCAGCCCAGCGCTTCCCAATGGGATGCTCCTGGGAACGGGGGTGACGGCAGAGCCGGGCCTCACCTTCCTCCTCCTCCTCCTCCTCGCTGTCAGCAGCCGCCAGCTCCTGCAGGCGCCGGCTCAGCTCCAGCTCCTCGGGCTCTGGCTCCGCCCCCGGCCGCCGCCGCTCTTTCCTCCGCTCCTTTTTCCTCCGGGAAGCCTGGGAAAAGGGGGGGGGGAGGGGAATAACCCCTCATTAACCCCCCCTTCCCTCACCCCATTCATTAGGGCTCAGTCATCACCACCCCCTGTCATTATGGAACCTGCTGGGCCGGTGCCTCCTTGTCCGGGGCCGGGGGGGGCTCAGCGGGCGCCGCTTTCTCCTCCTCCACCAGCTCCTCGAAGAACTGGGGGGCAAAGGGAAGGGTCAGGGGGGGCCGGTGCAGGCGCAGGGGGTGATGGGGATGAAGGAAAGGGGGGGGGCACTGGTGCTCACCGACTTCTTGCCTCGCCGGTCCTTCTTGCCCTTCTTCACCGGCTGGTCTGGGGGGGGAAAGGAAGGAAAAGGGAAGGGAAAGGGGAAGAAAAGGGAAAGGAAAGAAAAAGGAAGGAAAAGTGAAGGAAAAGGGGAAGAAAAAGGAAACAGAAGGAAGAAAAAGGAAGGAAAAAGGAAAAAAAATGGAAGAGAAAGGGAAGGAAAAGGGGAAACAAACAGAAGGGAAGGGAAAGGGAAGGAAAAGAGAAGGGAAAAACAAGGGGAAGGGAAAGGGAAGGAAAAACAAGGGAAAGAGAAGGAAAAGGGAAGAAAAATGGGAAGGGAAAAGGAAAAGGGGGCTCAAGCACCCAGAGCCCCCCCTATGGGCTACAAGTCCCAGGGGACCCGGATGTCCCCCTCCCACCAACCCAACAGTGCAGGCGGGACCCCCCTAAGGGGTTAATTACACCCTCCAAGCGTCATCCCCCCCCCCCCCAAGGGGTTGATCCCATATTCCAAGCGGGAATACCGCCATTCCAAACGGACATCCCCCCTCAAAGGGTTAACCCCCCCCCCCCAAAAAGGTTAAGCCCCCCTCAAGGCCTCAACTCCCCCCCCAAGGCCCCAACTCCCCCTCCAGGGCCCCACCCCGGTCCCCCCCTCCCGCAGCTCCGCGGGGTCCCTGTGGCCCCCTCCCCGGTACCGATCCCGGTTCCGATCCCGGTCCCGGTGCTCACCCGGGCCCTCGCCGTCCCCCCGCCATTCCTCCTGCTTGGCCGCCGCCGGCCGCGCTCCCTTCGGCATGGCCGGGCGCCGCGCACTGCGCCTGCGCGGACACAGACACTCCCACTAGAGCGCCGCCGCTCTTCCGGTCCGCCGCCGCGCCCTGCCGGGATGGAGCAGCTTCCGATTGGCTCGTTGGCGGTAAAATCCCGCCTACTAACCTCGTTATTCTGTCTCCAATTGGTTCATCGTCCTAACTCATCCTCCCATTGGTTCGCTCTTCCCCACCGGGCCTCAGTGGTGGTGGACCCCTCCTCCCATTGGCTGTCATCGTGTTGCTTGTGCTCTCTGTGATTGGCTGAGGTAGGTCCCGCCCCTTTACGTCACGTCCCATCATGCCCCGCAAGCGGCCGTTCAGCGCTAAGAGAAAGAAACAGCAGCTCCGAGACCGGCGGGAACGGAGGCGGGGCGGTGAGAGGGAGCCGGGAGGAGGAACGCGGCCCCGAGGGGGGGAACGGGGTCGGGAGGGGGGAGAACGGGGCCCAGAGAGGGGGAACGGGGCCCCGAGGCGGGGAACGGGACCGGGAGGGGGGAGAACGGGGCCCCGAGGGGGGAAACGGGACCGGGAGGGGCGGAAACGGGGCGTGGAGGGGGAGAACGGGACCGGGCCTGCCCTGACCGCGGTTCCTGCCCGCAGACGCCCCGGCCCCACCGGGCTCGGGCCCTGGCAGCCGCAGCGGGAGCCGGGAGCGCGGCAGCGATGCGGCCTCTGCTGAAGCCGGGGATCCGGTTCCCCCTCCCCGCCGCCATGACCCGGGCCGGTTCCGGCTGCAGCTGGGGGGGCCCCGGGCCGAGGCCCTGGCGCGGCGGCGGCGGCGGGCGCAGGAGGAGGTGGTGGAGCTGCTGCCCGAGAGCGCCCTGGAGCTGGACCCGGACCTCATCTACGGGCCCGGTGAGGGGGCAAGGACGGGAGGGGGGGTGAGCAGAGGGGGGAGATCGCACGGGGAGGAGCCGGTGGGAGCCACGTTTGCCGGTGCCAGGCCTGGACTTCCCCCGGCGGCCGCCCTGGAGCTTCGCCATGAGCCCCGAGGAGCTGCGGGTGCGGGAGGAGGCGGCGTTTGGGGCCTTCCTGAGGGCCCTGCAGGAGAACCAGCGGCCGGCGGAGGGCGAGGAGGAGGATGGAGGGGACGTGGCCCCCTTTGAGCACAACCTGGAGGTGAGCGAGGCACCCATGGGTGCTGGGGGGGGGGGGCATGGGGGTGTTCAGGGTAACGGCATCACCGTGTTCCCCTCTCTAGACATGGCGGCAGCTGTGGCGGGTGCTGGAGATGTCCGATGTCATCCTGCTCATCACTGACGCCCGGCACCCGGTGAGTAAAGGGGGTGACCCCACACATGTGGGGTGGGGGCACCCCTGTATCCAGCCCCCGGTTCAGTACCGCTCTGTCCCCCCCGTCCATGGCAGGCCCTGAACGTGCCCCCCGCGCTGGCCACCCACATCACCCGGGAGCTGGGCAAGGGGCTCATCCTCATCCTCAACAAAGTGGACCTCACGTCCCCCGCCGTGGCCACCGCCTGGAGCCACCTCCTGCGGCGCCGCTTCCCCACCGCCCGCGTCGTCCCCTTCACCTCCGCCCCCCGACGGGGGCCCACAGCCGGTAGGGACCCAGTGCTTTGATGGGGTGGGGGTGACAGGGGGTGGTCACGGTGCCCTCACACCCCCTTTTCTCTTATGATCCCCTATAGGGCTGCAGCGGAGACAGAGGAGGGGAGGAGGCTGGAGCCGGGCTGTGGGACCCCGGCAGCTGCTGGAGGCCTGTGAGAGCATCGTGGGGGGAGAAGGTGAGTGGGGCACCCATGGGTGCTGTGTGTGTGGGGGGGGAAGGGGTGCATGCACCTTGTCACCCATTGGGTGGTGGTGGTGAAGGGGTTCCCTGTGTCCCATGGGTGCTGGTTGGGGTTTTCTTATGTCCGCCTTGGGTGCTTCTCCATCCCTCCCCATTGCTTCGCAGTGGACCTGAGCAGCTGGCGAGCGCGGCTGGACCGGGCGGAAGCGGCAGCAGCACGAGGGGAAGAGGAGGAAGAGGAAGAGCAGCAGGAAGAGGTGGGAGATGGCGGGGAGGAAGAGGAGGAGGAAGACGGTGACGAGGATGGAGCCATGGGGGCCCCTCGGCAGTGGGAGCGCTACCGCCACGGCGTCCTCACCCTGGGCTGCGTCGGTGAGGGGCGGGGCTTGATGGAGATGGGCCAATGGGAGGGGGGTGTTCAGCCAAGAGGCGGGGCCTAATGCGGAGGGGGCGTGGCTTCCATTGGGATGCTCCTGAGAGGGGATGATGGCAGTGAATGCTGGGGGGGAGCCATGTCCTGACCCCCCCATTCCCCACAGGGCTCCCCAATGCAGGGAAGTCGTCGGTGCTGAACGCCCTGGTGGGCCGCAGCGCCGTGAGCGTGTCCCGGGCCCCCGGGCGCACCCGCTACTTCCAGACCCATTTCCTCACCCCCTGTGTCCGCCTCTGTGACTGCCCCGGCCTCGTCTTCCCCTCCCGGGCTCCCCCAGCTCTGCAGGTGGGTCCCAGCCCCATTCCCCACCCCTTATACTTGATTTCCCCCCCCATTCCCAAGTTAAGCCATTGTTGTATTGCCCCCAAGGTGCTGGCCGGTGTCTACCCCATCTCCCAGCTGCAGGAGCCCTACTCGGCTGTGGGGTACTTGGCCTCTCGCCTCCCACTGCCACCTCTGCTCCAGCTGCGGCCCCCCAGTTCTGCAACAGGTTGGACAGCCTGGGACATCTGTGAAGGTCGGTGACTTTTGGGGTGAATTAAGTAAAAATCAGGCTTGTTTCTTGTCGTTAATGAGGTTTTTTGGGGGTCTTTGCTCAGCGTGGGCAGAGAAACGAGGCTACAAGACAGCAAAGGCAGCTCGGAACGATGTGTACCGGGCAGCCAACAGCATCCTAAGGCTGGCGGCTGAGGGGCGACTCCGGCTCTGCCTGCGTCCCCCAGGTTATGCTGCCCAAAAGGGTGAGTGTACCCCAAGACCCTCATGGGGGGGGGGTGTCTCAGCCAATGAGGGGCCTGGAATCAGGTTTTGGGCGGTGTTTTGTGCCTGCTGTGGCCAATCACGGTCTTTGTGTGCATCCCCCCCCCCCCAGACCTGTGGGAGCAGCACCCAGAGACAGCAGCGCTGGCGGCACTGCAGGAGCGGGGGGACCCGGGGGTCCAGAGCTCGGCCCCCCCTGAGGAAGGCTCAACCTCGGAGGAGGAGGAGTGTGACAGCGAGGAGGGGGCGGAGCCTGGGGAGGCCACGCCTCCCGCCAGCACCGCGGCCAATCCTTTTGCTCTGCTGGGAGAGGATGAGTGTTAGCCCCGCCCCATAACGTGACGCTGATACTATATATGGAATAAAGGAAAGTTTATTTCTGCAACCGGTGTTTTCTGATTGGTTAGAGGGGGCTGCAGGGACCAATCCGCGCTCACGTCGCCGCTCTGTTGCCAGGTAGGGTTTATAGGGGGTCTCCTGGAAGGTCACAGCAGCTGTTAGCCCCACCCACACCTTCCCTTATATGGATTGAACCCCGCCCCTCACTCACCGGGGGGCGTGGCCTGCTCCAGGGGGCGTGGCTTCGCGCAGAGGTAGCGCCGGTGCCGGCCGCAGCTCTGGCAATGCAGCACCGTGCGGGGCTGCCCCCGGCCTGCGGAATGGATCACCAATGGGTGCCCCCGACCCACCAATGGGGGTGCCCCCGACCCACCAATGGGTGCCCCCGACCCACCAATGGGTGCCCCCGACCCACCTCGCAGGCGCAGGCAGCCCCCAGTGCCGGGCAGCAGCAGCGAGCAGCAGCGGCGGCACACGGTCCGCTTCACCGAGGGGGCCCTGAGGGGTTGGGTGGTGGTGGGGGGGGTCAGGGTCCCTGCTATGGGTCCCCTGCATCCCATGGGGTGCCCCCCCCACCCCAAACCCCTGTCCCGTTCCTCACAGGCGCAGGACGAGGCGGCGCGCGGTCCCTCGCTGGATGCTGCAGTAGAAGCGGGCGAGTGCGGGGCTGTGCGGGAGCACCCAGTGCGCGGCCTGGGGGGGAAACAGGGCTACAGCCTGCCCCATAGGGACCCCTCTTCTGCCCCATAGAGCACCCCATAGCCCCCTGCAGCCCCTCTTGTGCCCCATAGAGCACCCCATAGGCCTCACCCTGCCCCATCGGTCCCCTCTTGTGCCCCATAGAGCACCCCATAGCCCCTCCGCTGCCCCATAGGGCCCCTCTCGGCCCCATGCCCACCTGGAACAGGAAGCTGAGCCGCTGCAGCACCTCGCGGTCCTTCACCGCCGCCGCCATCGCGCTCCCGATTGGACGCGCCCCCTCCCGGTGGGCGGGGACGACGCTCCCCATTGGTTGGCTTCTTGAAGGAGGCGTGTTTTCCACGCCCCGCTCGGCTGAGGGTGGGTGGGAGGGAGAGAGGGAGGGTCGGTACTTCCGGCGCTGGGAGAAATCGTCACTTCCGGCGCCGGACCCGGTGTGGAGGGGAGCGGAGGTGAGTGGGGGCCGGGGGGGCCGGGACCGGCTATAGGGACCTGCTATAGGAGAGCCCTATAGCGACCCTGCCATAGGGACCTGCTATAGGAGCCTCCTACAGCGACCCCCCTATAGGGACCTCCTATAGGCATCCCTTATAGGGACCTGCTATAGGAGAACCCTATAGCAGCCGCGCCATAGGGACCTGCTATAGGAATCCCCTATAGGGACCTGCTATAGGGGCCTCCTACAGTGACCCTGCTATAGGCACTTGATATAAGGATCCCCTATAGGGATCTGCTATAGGAGAACCCTATAGCAACCCCACCATAGGAACCTGCTATAGATACTTGCTATAAGGATCCCCTATGGGGACTTTCTATAGAAGCCCTCTATAGTGTCCCTGCCATAGGGACCAGTTATAGGGACCTTGCTATAGGCACCTGCTGTAAGGATCCCCAATAAGGACTTGCTTCCCACCAGCACGTTCCCATTTTAACCGAATTCACTTGTTTTCCCCCCAGAAAACACCGCTGAAGATGACATCATCCCTTTACCCAAACTGATGCCTTTCCCCCCCCCAAACCCCCTGGTTTCCTTCTATGATCCCCACCCCTTCCCCCCACCAGTTTCCCATTTTAACCAAATTCCCTTGTTTTCCCCCCAGAAACCACTGCTGGAGATGATATCATCCCTTTACCCAAACTGACGCCTTTCCCCCCCAAACCCCCTTGGTTCCCTGCTATGATTCCCACCCCTTCCCACCACCACGTTCCCATTTTAACCGAATTCACTTGTTTCCCCCCAGAAAGCACCGCTGAAGATGACATCATCCCTTTACCCAAACTGACACCGTTCCCCCCCATAACCCTACTGGGATCCCTCCCATCCACCACCATGTCCTGCTCCGACCCCTTGGAGACGCTGCGGGTGGAAGCCAGCTGCTCCGTGTGCCTCGAGTACCTGCGGGACCCGGTGCTCCTCGAGTGCGGGCACAACTTCTGCCGCGCCTGCATCACGCGCTGGTGGGCCGAGCTGGCGCGGGACTTCCCCTGCCCCGTGTGCCGCAAGACCTCGCGGCGCCGCGCCCTGCGCCCCAACCGCCAGCTCGGCAACATGGTGGAGGCGGCGCGCCAGCTCCGCGGCACCAAGCGCAAGGCCCCCGACGGCCCCCGCTGCCGCACCCACGGCCAGGCCCTGGCGCGCTTCTGCCGCGACGACCAAGCCCCCGTCTGCCTCCTCTGCCAGATCTCCCACGCGCACCGGGCCCACGTCCTTGTGCCCCTCGAGGTGGCGGCCAGGGAGTACAAGGTGATGATGGCGGGGGGGGGTCCATGTTATCCAAATCCCGGTTTTCAGCACCAAATTCCCCCCCTGAGGCTGTTTCTGGAGGGGGTTTGGGCACTGTTTGATCCCAATCCCGGTTTTCAGCACCAAATTCCCCCCCTGAGGCTGTTTCTGGAGGGGTTTGGGCACTGTTTGATCCCAATCCCGGTTTTCAGCACCAAATTCCCCCCCTGAGGCTGTTTCTGGAGGGGGTTTGGGCTCCGTTTGATCCCAATCCCGGTTTTCAGCACCAAATTCCCTCCCTGAGGCTGTTTCTGGAGGGTTTGGGCTCCGTTTGAACCCAATCCCGGTTTTCAGCACCAAATTCCCTCCCTGAGGCTGTTTCTGGAGGGGTTTGGGCTCCGTTTGATCCCAATCCCTGTTTTCAGCCCTAAATTCCCTCCCTGAGGCTCTTTCTGGAGGGGTTTGGGCTCTGTTTGATCCCAATCCCGGTTTTCAGCACCAAATTCCCTCCCTGAGGCTCTTTCTGGAGGGGTTTGGGCTCCACTTTGTCCCAATCCCACTTTTCAGCCCTAAATTCCCTTCCTGAGGCTGTTTCTGGAGGGGGTTTGGGCTCCGTTTTATCCCAATCCCCGTTTTCAGCCCCCAGTTCCCTCCCTGAGGCTGTCTCTGGAGGGATTTTGAGCTCCACTTTGTCGCAATCCCCATTTTCAGCCCCAAATCCCTTCCCTGAGTCTGTTTCTGGAGGGGTTTTGGGATGCTGCTCATCCCTGTTTCATTTTCCAACCCCTCCTGATGGGATTGAGCCCCAAATCCCCCTTCTGTGGCTGGGTTTGGAGGAGATTTGGAAACCAGTTTGCTCCTGATTCCAGTTTGAGGCCATAGGTTATCCAGGAAGGGAATTGGTGGCTCACTTGGTGGAGAAGGGATTCAGGGATGGAGGAGGGATACAGGGATGGAGAAGGGATTCAGGGATGGAGAAGGGATTCAGGGATGGGGAAGGGATACAGGGATGGGTTTGGGCTTTGGCGCAGGAGGATCCCACCCTGTCCCCATCCCACCCCCCTTCCCTCCTTGGGCAGGAGAAGCTGCAGCGCTGCCTGGAGCCGCTGGAGCAGAAGCTGGAAGCGCTGAGCGGCTGCCGAGCACGGGAGGAGCAGAAACCGGCCCAGCTGAAGGTGAGTGATGGTCAATGGGGGGGTTGGATAGGGATACTGCTCCCGGTGCTCCCGGTGCTCCCGGTGCTCCCAGTGCTCCCGGTGCTCCCGGTGTTCCCGGTGTTCCCGGTGCTCCCGGTGCTCCCAGTGCTCCCAGTGCTCCCGGTGCTCCCGGTGCTCCCAGTGCTCCCAGTGCTCCCAGTGTTCCCAGAGCTCCCGGTGCTCCCGGTGCTCCCGGTGTTCCCGGTGCTCCCGGTGCTCCCGGTGCTCCCAGTGCTCCTAGTGTTCCCAGTGCTCCCGGTGCTCCCGGTGCTCCCGGTGCTCCCAGTGTTCCCGGTGCTCCCGGTGCTCCCAGTGCTCCCAGTGCTCCCAGTGCTCCCAGTGTTCCCAGTGCTCCCAGTGCTCCCAGTGCTCCCAGTGCTCCCAGTGCTCCCAGTCCCAGTGCTCCCAGTGTTCCCAGTGCTCCCGGTGCTCCCAGTGCTCCCGGTGTTCCCGGTGCTCCCGGTGCTCCCAGTGCTCCCAGTGTTCCCAGTGCTCCCGGTGCTCCCGGTGCTCCCGGTGCTCCCAGTGCTCCTAGTGTTCCCAGTGCTCCCGGTGCTCCCGGTGTTCCCGGTGCTCCCAGTGCTCCCGGTGCTCCCGGTGCTGCCGGTGTTCCCAGTGCTCCCGGTGCTCCCAGTGTTCCCGGTGCTCCCGGTGCTCCCAGTGCTCCCGGTGCTCCCGGTGCTCCCAGTGTTCCCGGTGCTCCCAGTGTTCCCGGTGCTCCCGGTGCTCCCAGTGTTCCCGGTGCTCCCGGTGCTCCCGGTGCTCCCGGTGCTCCCAGTGTTCCCGGTGCTCCCGGTGCTCCCAGTGTTCCCGGTGCTCCCGGTGCTCCCAGTGTTCCCGGTGCTCCCAGTGCTCCCAGTGCTCCTGGTGCTCCCGGTGCTCCCGGTGCTCCCAGTTCTCCCAGTGCCCCCGGTGCCGTTACCGCAGAGGCTGGTGTCCGGGCGGCGGGACCGCATCGCGCAGGAGTTCGAGGAGCTGCGGGAGCTGCTGGCGCAGGAGGAGCGGCTCCTGCTGCGGCGCCTGGAGGATGAGGAGCAGGAGATCCTGGAGCGGCTCCAGGCCAACCTGGAGCACCTGGAAGAGCAGCGCCGAGGCCTGGCCACCCTCGTGGCCCAGCTGCAGGAGAAGTGCCTGCAGCCCGGAGCAGAGATGCTCCAGGTGAGCAGGGGACGGGGATGGGGATGGAGTGAGGGCACGGGGATGGGAGCAGTAAAAGGGGGGGGATTGATTCTGGGGATGGGATTCCTAGGGATAGGGTTAGGGTTTGGGGATGGGATCAGCCCAGGGGGTAGGGTTGATTCTGGGAATGGGATTCCTAGGGTTGGGGTTAGTATTTGGGGTTGGGATCACTAGAAGGGGGAGGATTAATTTCGGGAATGGGATTCCTAGGCATGGGATTGGGTTTGTGGGGCAGGATCCTGGCAGATGGGGATAGTTTTGGGGATGGGATCAGCCCAGGGGGTAGGGTTGGTTTCGGGAATGGGATTCCTAGGGATAGGGTTTGGGGATGGGATCAGCTCAAGGGGTAGGGTTGATTTGGGCAATGGGATTCCTAGGGTTAGGGTTAGTGTTTGGGGATGGGATCAGCCCAAGGTGTAGGGTTGATTCTGGGAATGGGATTCCTAGGGTTACAGTTAGGGTTTAGGGATGGGATCACCCTAGGGGGTGGGGATGAATGTTGGGGGCAGCACAGTCTCCAGGGATGGGATTTGGTGTAGGGATGGATTGGGTTTAGGGACAGGATCCCAGGGAATGGGATTGGGTTTGATGACAGGGTTTGGAACACCAGGGAGGGAATTGGCAGCAGGAATGGGGTCAGCATCAGGATTGGCATCATGGATACAATACCTGGAGCATGGATCTGGGGGGATCCATCCCACTAGACCCTCCTTTCCCCCCTCTTTCTGCTGTTTAGGACATCAAGGACACTCTGGCCAAGTAAGAGCAATCCAGGCCTCCGTTTTGGGGCAGAAAAGCGGGATTTTGGGGTGTTGGGCTCAGCCAGAGCATCCCTCCTCCCCCCCAGGTGCGAGGCAGCGGCGGCTCCCATGGATGATCCCGTTTCCATTCCCATCGAGCTGGAGAAGAACTTCGGCAGCTTCCCGCGGCAGTACTTCACCCTGCGCAAGCTCACGCGGCACCTCCTCGGTGAGCCCCCTTATCCGCACCCATCCATCCCTGATACCCCCTTTATCCACATCCATCCCTGATCCCCCCTTTAACAGCACCCATCCATCCCTTATCCCCCCTTTATCCACATCCATCCATCCCTGATCCCCCCCTTATCCGCACCCATCCATTCCTGATCCCCCTTTATCCGCACCCATCCCTGATCCCCCCTTTAACAGCACCCACCCATTCCTGATACCCCCTTTATCCACATCCAGCCATCCCTGATCCCCCCTTTAACAGCACCCACCCATTCCTTATACCCCCTTTATCCACATCCATCCATCCCTGATCCCCCGTTATCCACATCCATCCATCCCTGATCTCCCCTTTAACAGCACCCATCCATCCCTGATCCCCCCTTTAACAGCACCCATCCATCCCTGATCTCCCCTTTAACAGCACCCATCCATCCTTGATCCCCCCTTTATCCGCACCCATCCATCCCTGATCCCCTTTTATCCATCCCTGATCCCCCCCTTTATCCGCACCCATCCATCCCTGTTCCCCTTTTATCCATCCCTGATCCCCCCCTTTATCCGCACCCATCCATCCCTGATCCCCTTTTATCCATCCCTGATCCCCCCTTTTATCCGCACCCATCCATCCCTGATACCCTCTTTATCCACATCCGTCCATTCCTGATCCCCCCTATCCATCCCTGATCCCCCCTTTATCCACATCCATCCATTGCTGATACCCCCTTTATCCACATCCATCCATCCCTGATCCCCTTTTATCCATCCCTGATCCCCTCCTTTATCCGCACCCATCCATCCCTGATCCCCTTTTATCCATCCCTGATCCCCCCTTTATCCCCACCCATCCATTCCCGATCCCCCCCTTTACCCGCATCCCTCCCCTCCTGAACCCTGCCGTGTCCCCACAGGGGAGGTGACGCTGGACCCGGACACCGCTCATCCCAACCTGGTCCTATCCAAGGACCGGAAAAGCGTCCGCTTTGTGGAAGTGGGGCCTCGGGAGGTGCCCGATTCCCCGCGGCGCTTCACCATCTACCCCTGCGTGCTGGCGGCGCAGGGCTTCACCTCCGGCAGGCACTACTGGGAGGTGGAGGTCGGGGACAAGACCCACTGGGCCTTGGGAGTGTGCAAGGATTCGGTGAGCAGGAAAGGGGAACTGACCCCATTGCCGGAGGCGGGATACTGGCGCGTCCGGCTCTGGAACGGGGACAAGTACGCGGCCACCACCACCCCCTTCACGCCGCTGACGCTGCGGGTGAAGCCGAAACGCGTTGGGGTCTTCCTGGATTACGAGGCTGGGAAAGTGGCCTTCTACAACGTGACCGATCGCTCGCACATCTACACCTTCACCGCCACCTTCACCGAGAAGGTCTGGCCCCTCTTCTACCCCGGCATCCGCGCCGGCAGGAAGAACGCGGCTCCGCTCGTCATCCGCTCGCCCACGGACTGGGAGTGATGGGGATGGCTCCGGAACGGCAAGGAGATCCCACTGGGATGCGGCTCTCTGATGGCTGGGACCGCTGGGATGCGCTGGGCCAGCACTGCTGGGGTTTGGCTCTCACATCTGGCACCGCTGGGATGCGCTGGTCCAGCGCTACTGGGATTTGGCTCTCACATCTGGCACCGCTGGGATGCGCTGGTCCAGCGCTACTGGGATTTGGCTCTTCCATCTGGCACCGCTGGGATGCACTGGTCCAGCGCTACTGGGATTTGGCTCTCACATCTGGCACCGCTGGGATGCACTGGTCCAGCGCTACTGGGATTTGGCTCTCACATCTGGCACCGCTGGGATGCGCTGGTCCAGTGCTACTGGGATTTGGCTCTTCCATCTGGCACCGCTGGGATGCACTGGTCCAGTGCTACTGGGGTTTGGCTCTCACATCTGGCACCGCTGGGATGCGCTGGTCCAGCGCTACTGGGATTTGGCTCTCACATCTGGCACCGCTGGGATGCGCTGGTCCAGTGCTACTGGGATTTGGCTCTTCCATCTGGCACCGCTGGGATGCACTGGTCCAGTGCTACTGGGGTTTGGCTCTCACATCTGGCACCGCTGGGATGCGCTGGTCCAGCGCTACTGGGATTTGGCTCTCACATCTGGCACCGCTGGGATGCGCTGGTCCAGTGCTACTGGGATTTGGCTCTTCCATCTGGCACCGCTGGGATGCACTGGTCCAGTGCTACTGGGGTTTGGCTCTCACATCTGGCACCGCTGGGATGCGCTGGTCCAGCGCTACTGGGATTTGGCTCTCACATCTGGCACCGCTGGGATGCGCTGGTCCAGCACTACTGGGATTTGGCTCTCACATCTGGCACCGCTGGGATGCGCTGGTCCAGCGCTACTGGGATTTGGCTCTCACATCTGGCACCGCTGGGATGCACTGGTCCAGCACTACTGGGATTTGGCTCTCACATCTGGCACCGCTGGGATGCGCTGGTCCAGCGCTACTGGGATTTGGCTCTTCCATCTGGCACCGCTGGGATGCACTGGTCCAGTGCTACTGGGATTTGGGTCTTCCATCTGGCACCGCTGGGATGCGCTGGTCCAGCGCTACTGGGATTTGGCTCTCACATCTGGCACCGCTGGGATGCGCTGGTCCAGCGCTACTGGGATTTGGCTCTCACATCTGGCACCCCTGGGATGCGCTGGTCCAGTGCTACTGGGATTTGGCTCTTCAAGGTCTGGGATGCAGCGATCCATCCCTGCTGGGATTTGGCTCCATCTCACCGGCACCAGACTGGGTTCGGTTGGGGCAGCACCGGTGGCCTGTGGTGGTGGTGGGGGCAGGTGTGTGGCAGAGCTGTGTCCCCGTGTCCTCCCGTGTCCATCCACGTCCCATATCTCTGTCCATCCACGTCCCATATCTCTGTCCATCCACGTCCCATATCTCTGTCCATCCACGTCCCATATCTTTGTCCATCCACGTCCCATATCTCTGTCCATCCACGTCCCGTATCTCTGTCCATTTCTGTCCATCCATGTCCCATATCCATGTCCCTCTGTCCGTTTATGTCCATCCATGTCCCATATCTCTGTCCATTTATGTCCATCTATGTCTCTCTATGTCCATCCATGTCTCATCTCTCTATCCATTTATGTCCATCCATGTCCCATATTTCTGTTCCTCTATTCATTTATGTCCATCCATGTCCCATATCTCTCTCCATTTATGTCCATCCATTTCCCATGTCTCTCTCCATCCATGTCCCATATCCATGTCCCCATCTCTCTCCATCCATGTCCCATATCCATGTCCCATATCTCTCTGTCCATCTCTCTCCATCCATGTCCCATATCCATGTCCCATCTCTCTCTGTCCATCTCTCTCCATCCACGTCCCTTTGTGTATCCCCATCCCCACCCGTTCCCATCTCCCTCCCTACCCCATCCCTTCCCCATCCCTACCCTCCTGCTCCTCCCTCCGTGTCCGTGTCCAGGTCCCACCTCCCGCCCCGCCCCGCCCCTCCCCGTCCCGTCCCGTCCCGTCCCTCCCCGCTCCCCCCTCCCGTGTCCCGCTCACTCCCCCATGGCCCCCTCGGCGCTGCCGGAGCGGGGCCCTCTCGCTCGCCTGGCGCTGGACACGCAGTGCCCGGCCTGCGGGGAGCCCCTGCGGGACCCGGTGCTGCTGCCCTGCAACCACAGCTGCTGCCGCCGCTGCCTGCGCGCTCCCGCTCCCGGCCCCGCTCCCGGCTTCAGCTGCCCCCGGTGCCACCGCGCCGCGGCCCCGCACCGGCTCCGCACCCCCGTGGCCTTGGCCGTCGAGACCCGCATCGCGCAGCGCCTGGCCCGGGGCACCCCCGCGGCCCCCCGGCGCCCCCAGCGCCGCAGGTGAGGGCAGGGGGGGGACCCAGTGCTGATAGAGGGGAATGGGGGCTGTGGGACAATGGGGAGCACTTGGGGGGCACCCAGTGCTCAGGGGCAATAGGGGGGGATTGGGGGGCTGGGGGGGACCCAGTGCTCAGGGGCAATAGTGGGGAACTGGGGGCTGTGGGACAAGGGGGGTCTTGGGGAGCTGGAAAGGAAGTGGGGGGATATGGGGGGGGAATGGAGGGAATAGGGGGGTGAAGGGGAATTGGGGGGCCCTAATGTCTAAGTGGGTGCTGTGGAGTTGGGGGGGTCTGGGGGTGCTGTGGGTGCCATTGGGGTGCAGGTGCCATTGGGGTGCAGGGGGGAGGATGTGGATGTGCTGTGGGTACCATTGGGATGCAGGGGGGGGGTGATGTTGATGTGCTATAGGGTGCCATTGGGGTGCAGGGGGGGGATGTGGATGTGCTGTGGGTGCCATTGGGGTGCGGGGGGGGCCATGACCCCGTGCCCCATCCCTCACGTGCGGTGCAGTGCGGTGAGTCCCGTGCCAGGCCCAGCCGGTCGGGTGACATTGCTGGGGGGTGACGCTTGTTTTGGTGCCTCCTGGTCCCTCCCTTGGGGACACTCCCCAGGCCGGTGACACCCCAAAGGTGCCCCCCCCACACCTTTATCCCTGTCATTAACCCCCCCCATTCCCTTCTCCCCACAGCCTGGGGGCCCAGCTCCGAGCCGACGCCGCTGCCACCAGCCCCCCACCCCCTAAGGAGCCACCTGAGGGTGGGGGGACCCCCCGCAAGCCGTCCCCCCCCCCACTGACACCCCAATAAACACCGTGCCCCCCACAGCAGCGGTCACAGCAGTGCCACCTTTAATGCCCACAGGTGCCATGTTGGGGGGGGGGAGCACCCCAAAACGCCCCCCCCCAAAACAGTGGGGTGCATGTGGGGGGTGGCAGTGTTGATTGGGAGGGGGGGCGCAGGCAGTGATGGGGGGTTCAGGCAATGGTGGTTTGGGGAGGAGGGGCTCAGGCATTGGTTGGGGGGAATCAGGCATTGATTTGAGGGGGGGCACCCCCTGATGTGATGCTGGGGGATGGGGGGGTCCAGTCCAGAGTCAGTGATGGGGGGGGGGGGGTTATCCATGAGCCTCCATAGGGGACTCCTCAGTGCTCCATCGGGGTCAGGGGCCCAGGGGGTTGCGCTTGGGGCCCCCCCGTGTCCCCCCCGCGCTGCCTCTGCCCCCGTTTGTGTCCCCTGATGCAATGGAGGTGGCCACAACCATCGTGCCCCCCCCTGGCCGCCCCCCGCGCTGCTTCCTCCTCCTCTTCCTCCTCCTCCTCCTCGCTCTCGGTCGAGCTCTCCCCGAACGCTCGCGGCTTCTCATAGATGCAGCAGCCTGAGGTGCAATGGGGGGGGGGCACATAAAAAGGGGGTGTCAGGGGGGGCTCCCCCAATGTCCGGGATGGGGAGGGGGCACGGGAGGGGGTCCCCACTCACACTTGGAGGAGCGGCGGCCCAGGTGCTCGTTGTCCACGGTGTCACTGGACCACTCCACCTTCTTGTCCGGCTTCCGCTTGCGCAGCTTCAGGGTCAGGCTCCGGTTCTCCTTGGGGCGGGGGGGGGGCACACATGGGGGCCACTGTCACCACCCCCCATGTTCTATACCCCCGCCTTTATAGCACATTTATGGCTTCTTGGGGGTATTTAGACCCCCCCCCTCCCAGCTATTTACCCCCCCAATAGGGTTTATACCCCCCCAATAGGATTTATACCCCCCCCAATAGGATTTATATCCCCCCCACCGTGGTACTTATACACCCTGGAGCTTATACCCCTTCCCTACACTTATAGCCCCCCCCCCCATATCCATAGGCCCCAGGTGTGTATAGATAACCACATAGACACTATCTATACCCCCCCAAAGGGATGCATAGATACAGGCACACATTATCTATAGCTCCTCCCATGGGTATCTACACCCCCCCTTCACTATATATACATACCCCTCTTATATATATACCCCCCTCGGTTATCTATAGCCTATTCTGGGTATCTCACCCCCCCCTTCACTATCTATAGATCCCCTCTAGATCTATACCCCCCCCCGTGTTATCTATAGCCTATTTTGGGTATCCCACACCCCCCTTCACTATCTATATATCCCCTCTAGAGCTATATCCCCCCCCGGTTATCTATAGCCTATTCTGGGTATCTCACACCCCCCTTCACTATCTATAGATCCCCTCTAGATCTATAACCCCCCCCTCGGTTATCTATAGCCTATTCTGGGTATCTCACACCCCCCTTCACTATCTATAGATCCCCTCTAGATCTATACCCCCCCCCCCGGGTTATCTATAGCCTATTCTGGGTATCTCACACCCCCTTCACTATCTATAGATCCCCTCTAGATCTATACCCCCCCCCGGGTTATCTATAGCCTATTCTGGGTATCTCACACCCCCCTTCTCTATCTAAACGTTCCCTTCTATATCTCTGTATTGGCTCGTATAGACACGGCCCCCGTCCGATTACAGCCCCCCCTTCAGTACCTATAGGCCCACCCCCATACCTAAACCCCCCCTCAGTATCTATAGGCCTTATCCGGTATCCGCAGCCCCCGGCGCTCACCGGCTCGGCGGCACCGGTCTCGGTGACGGTGGCGGTGCCGCAGCCGCCGGTGTCCGCCGCCTCCGCCATGGTCCCGGGTTGGTGTTAACGGGAAACGGGACGGGGGGGGGGGGGGTCCCGGCCGCCGCCGAGGCCCCCGAACGGGCGCGGAGCACCGGGAAAGGCCGGGCCGGGCCGCTCTCGTAGCCGCCCCGGTGCAGCGCCCACCGACACCCCCACTTCCGGTTGGTTGGGAAGGCACTTCCGGTAGGTCCCACGTATAATGCGGTCCCCCGCATAATGCGGTCCCCCGCGACGAGCGCGCTTCCGCCGTACAGCGGTGGCGCATGCGCAGTGCGGTCGGGCGGGGGTAAGAGGATGGGGCAAATAGGGGCAGTTTAAGAGGGGAAGTTAGAGACTGAGGGGGCAAAAAGGGGCAGTTTGTGGGGGTAGGTAGAGGCCGACGGGGCAAATACAGGCAGCATGGGGGGGTAAGTAGAGCATAAGAGGGCAATTTAGGGGCTGGCAGGCAATTAGGGGCAGTTCAGGAGGGTAAATAAAGCCTGAGGGGGCAATTGAGGTGCTACGGGGGGCAGACAGAGGATGAGGGGGCAGTGTGGGGGGGGTAGAGGAGGCTTAAGGGGGCAATTCAGGGCCTTGGGGGGGCAAATAGGGGCTCGGGGAGGCAAGTAAATGCTGAAGGGGGAGTTGAGGGGGGAAACAGGGTAAGAAGCGAGAGAACCCCCGAATCAACACCCTGGAGGGGTTTATTGACCACATGGGGGGGGCACAAACACGCCATGGGGGGGGGGGGGCAGGAACACCCCATCAGGAATCCTCCTTCTCCTGGAACCTGTGGGGAGAGAAGGGGGTGGTTATGGGGGGGTGGTCAGAGAGGGGAAAGGGGGATCCATATGGAATGGGGGGGTCAGAGAGGGGAAAAGCAGGGATCCATATGGAATAAGGGGGGGTCCCTCACCTGCAATGGGGGCAGGTATAGAACACGGTCTGGCCCTCATCGGCCGAGCGCATCTGCCGGGTGTGATAGGCCATGCCCTCGTGCCCGCAGCGGGGGCAGCGCCGCTCCACCTGCGTGTGCCCCCCCACCCCAAGGACATGGGGTTACAGACAGCCCTATGGGGGGGCTATACACGGGGGGGTCCCTCCCAATGGGGTGTTACCCCCCCACCCCAATAGCCACTGACCAGGGGTCCCTGGAGGTGGGGAGCAGGATCCTGCCCCCTCCCCGCGGGTTCCAACCGGTTGAACTCGATGGTGCTGCGGATCGTTTTCCCCTCAAAGTCTATGGGGCAAAGGAAGTCAAAGGGGGCCGGGGGGGGGGGTCATGTCCCGGTGTCCCCCCCCATCCCAACGTTGTCCCCACTGACCGGCGGTGTCGAGGGTGAAGTCGCAGCGGGGGCAGCGGATGCTGCTCTGCAGGCCCGGCCGGGGCAGGACGGAGCCGCACTCGGGGCAGAAATCCAGGCAGGACTGGAAGCAGGAGGAGGGGAGCTCCATGGCTGGGAATGGGGGAAAGGAAAACGAGAGGGGGGGTCAGCATCAGCCAGCACCCCCTTATTGCCCGGTGCCATTGGACCCCAGTGCCCCCCATCACCCCCATTGCGAGGAAAAGGGGGTCAGCATCACCCAGCACCCCCTTATTGCCCGGTGCCATTGGACCCCAGTGCCCCCCATCACCCCCATTGAGATGAAAAGGGGGGCCTCAGCAGCACCCCCTTATTGCCGGTTGCCACTGGATCCCATTGCCCCCCATAGCCCCCTTTAATTCCCCCCCATAACCCCCCAGAGCAGACAGGTCGAACCCTTCCCGGGCGCCCAGTCCCGAACGCGGGCCCCTCCAGCCCCGCCCCTTCCTGACGTCACTTCCTCCTCGCAGCGCGCGTATTGATTGACGCGGGAAGCCGGGGAGGGGGCGTATCCATTCTGTGAAGGGGCGGGGTTTTGGGGGGGCGTGGCCCGCGACCCCTGCTCCAAGCGGGGCGTGGCTTGGCCCCCGCGGTGGGCGCGTCTTGCCATAAATGGGCAGACTCCAGGGGGCGTGGTCTCGCCGTTGCCATGGCGTCGCTTCCGCTGCGGCGGGGCGGAAGTGGCGGGAGCTGCCGGGAGGCGCTGCTGGTACCGGCCGGGGCGGGGGGGTTCCCGTGGGGCTGGGGGTCGCCATTGGGGCCTATGGGGCTGCCTATGGGGCCTATGGGGCTGGGAGGGCCGTCGGTGCTCCCCTATGGGGCGGCGGGAGGGGCTGGGGGGAGTCCCTGTACCCTATAGGGGCAAGGAGAAGGCTCCCTCCCCATTCCCTCTTCCTGCGGGATTCGGGGCAGGGGGATCCATGAGGGGGCTCGGGGGGGGGGGGGGATTTGTGCTCATTAAAGGGGGAATTGGGGCATTTTAACCTCTTTCTCCTCATTGAAGAGCTCATTGGAGACCCCCCCCCAAGGACCATGCCTGGGGGTTGGAGGATGCTGAGCCCGGAGGCAGCGGCCGCACCGATGGGTACAGCCCCCGCCATGGCCTGACCCCCCCCCTCCATCACCGTGTGGAAGCTCCGGCGGGAGGGAAGCAGCGCCTTGAACCGCCCCCCCCCCATTCCCAAGGGATTCTCAGGAGGCTCTGGAAAAGGAGGGGGAGGGGGGAACCCCAGCGACCCCCCTCCCCCTGGAGCGCCGGCACAAGCAGGTAACGCGGGTAATTCCCATTGGGATTGGGGTTAAATTCCCATTGGGATTGGGGTTAAATTCCCATTGGCATTGGGTGAAAATCCCCCCCCTTAAAGGGGGAAAACGTGGGTTTGGGGTGGAAGAGCGAGGCGCTGGGGTGATGCTCGGCACCAAATCCCATGGGAAAAGGGTGAGGATTTGTTCCCATTGAGCGCCGTTGCCGCGGTTTATTTTGGTGTCACCCCGGTAGAAATAAAGCCAAAAAGGTGGGAAAAAGGGGAAAAAAATCAACCCGGGGGGGGGGGGATGTCCCCAAAACTCGCTTCCTTGGTCTGTTATGGGTGGGTTTGGGATGCTGAGGCCGGAGCTGCTTCCCTGGGATGCCAAAAGAGCCTGGATTAGTGAAAAAGGGGATTTAATGGGTAATTTAAAGGTGATGGAATGAAACCGGGGTGGGGGTTACCCCGAATCTGCTTGTTTGCGGTCTCTGGGGGCAGCTGTGATGAGGAAAAGGAGCTTAAACCCCCCCCAAATCCTTCAGGAATGCCTGGATTGGGGGGGGGGGTCACTTTTAAGGACCAAAGAAGGGGGGAAAACATCACCCCCAGGCTGGATTCGGGGGGAGGGTTTGGGGGTGCTGAAGGGTTCAATGGGACCGGGGCTGGGAGGCCCCGGAGCGCAGCCGAGGGCTGGGGAAATCCCAGCTCTGCTTACTCAGCGCCTGGCTGCGGGCTCCGGGCTCGGCACCAGGGCACGGCGCGGCTCAGGCTGCCCTTCGGGGCCAAACCCCCTTGTTTTGGGCCAAAAAACGCTCGTTTTGGGGCCAAACCGCCTCCTTTGGAGCCACAGCAGCCCCATTCGGAGGCAGAACCCCTCATTCTGAGCGAAGCCCCAGCCTTTGGGCCCCAGGTATGGCTTCACCCAGCCCCTCCCCCTGCAGAGCCCCCATTGAGGAGCCCCCCCCCCCAAATTCCCCTTTTCCCACCTTTTTTCCCTTCTTTCCCTTCTCTCCGGCTGCTTTTCCAGCCTGCGATGGCTCTTTTGGGGCCCTGAAGGGGGATCTGAGCCGGTTGCTTCCCGTGTTACCGGCACTTTCCCCTTTCCCCCTTCCCCTCCTGTTGCCTTTGGCCTCACCCCCCCTTTTACCACTCCAACCCCTTGATTTTCCCTCTTTTCCCCCCTTTTTTCCCATTTAAATCCCCCTTTTCCGGGTGTTTTCTTTCCTTTTAATTCCCCTTTTCCGCCCGCCAACGTGGCCGGCGGCGCTGTTAACCCTTGAGCTGCTCCCCCTGCGCTCCACCGGTTGCTGCTTTCCCCTCTCTTTATTCTCCCTGGTGCTTCCATTCCCCTTTTCCTTGCGGTTTTCCTTCTTTTTCCCCCTTAAACCCCCCTTTCCCTCCCACTTCCTGCCCCAGCTGTCATCTTCCCTTTGCCGGTAGGAGTCAAACTGGGCTGGAGGGGGGGTGTGGGTAAAAACTCGCTGAAAACAGAGGATTTTAGCCCCAAATTGAAGCTCTCCTTCTGTTTCTCAAGCAGAAACCTCCTCCTCCCCCCCAGCCCCTTCCCGGTGCCAAATCCTCCCTGGAACAGGCCTTGGGGTTAATGTTTAACGGGAATGGACTCTGCCCCCCGCTCTCCGCATGGAGATTTGGGGTTTAGGGTCCATAATTTGCCGTTTTCCCCCCGCTTTGTCCCATTTTGGGGGTGTTTTTGTGCCACGTTTCTGGTGGGAGGCTCCATGGCCGCGTTGTTTCACTTCCTCTCCCTATACCGGGGGGAGGGGGGGGTGGAGGGGTTGTTGCTCTGTTGGGGGGTGAAAGGAGGCCCCTGACCCCTGTCTCTTGGTGCGGTCCCAGGTCCATGGCATGGGAGTGAGCGCTGAAGGATGCTGAAGAAGAGCAGCTTGGTGCTGTGGGGGGCGGCGCTCTTCATCGCCTGGAACGGCCTCCTCCTCCTCTTCCTCTGGAGCCGCCCGGCCTCGCCTCCTGACGGCGACCTCCTCACGGCCCAAGTCATCCGCTTGGCCCAGGACGCCGAAACCGAGCTGGAGCGGCAGAAGCAGCTCCTGCACCAGATCCACCGCTACAGCGGCCTCTGGAGCCGGCGCCACCGCGGCCCCGGCACCCCCAAACCGCCCCCTCCGCCGCCGCCACCGCCGCCATCCCCGGCCCCGCCGCACCCCAGTGAGCCCAGCGGCACCGTGCTGCCCGTGCTGGTGCTGGCCTGCGACCGCAGCACCGTGCGCCGCTGCCTCGATAAGCTCCTGCGGTACCGGCCCTCGGCGCAGCAGTTCCCCGTCATCGTGAGCCAGGATTGCGGCCACGCCGAGACCGCCCGGGTCATCGCTTCCTATGGGGATGCCGTGGCGCATATCCGGCAGCCGGACCTCAGCGACATCCCGGTGCCGGCGGAGCATAGGAAATTCCAAGGATACTACAAGATCGCCCGGCATTACCGCTGGGCGCTGGGGCAGGTTTTCCGCACGTTCCGGTACCGCGCTGCCATCGTGGTGGAGGATGACTTAGAAGTCGCTCCGGATTTCTTTGAGTATTTCCAAGCGGCGTTCCCGCTGCTCCTGGCCGACCGCAGCCTCTGGTGCGTGTCCGCTTGGAATGACAACGGGAAGGAGCAGATGGTGGACGTGGCGCAGGCTGAACTGCTTTACAGGACTGATTTCTTTCCCGGCCTTGGTTGGTTGCTTTTAGCCGAGCTTTGGGACGAACTGGAGCCCAAATGGCCGCGAGCTTTTTGGGACGATTGGATGCGGCAGCCGGAGCAGCGCCGCGATCGCTCCTGCGTCCGGCCCGAGGTCTCCCGTACGATGACGTTCGGTCGCAAAGGCGTGAGCCACGGGCAGTTCTTTGACCAGTATTTAAAATTCATCAAACTCAACGACCGTTTCGTGCCTTTTACCCAACTGGATCTTTCTTACCTCAAAAAGGACGAGTACGAACGTTCCTTCCTCCCTAAGGTTTACTCTGCTCCGGAGGTGAGGGTGGAGGAGCTCCAGGGGAACCGGCGCCGGGAGCTGGGCACCGTCCGCCTCCAATACAGCGGCCGTGACTCCTTCAAGGCCTTCGCCAAAGCTTTGGGGCTGATGGACGACCTCAAGTCCGGCGTCCCCCGCGCCGGCTACCGCGGCATCGTCAGCTTCGTCTATAGGGGACGGCGCGTTTACCTGGCGCCCCCCTCGGACTGGACGGGATACGATCCCAGCTGGAGTTAGCGGGAATTGCGCTGCTCGGTGTGGTTTTGTTCCGGGGGGGGGCATTTCCCCCTACCCCTTTTTCATTGTTTTGGGGTTTTTTTTGTGGTGTGGATTTAGAGGGGAGGAGCCGGGACACGATTCGGGGTGAGCGGAGGAATGATTTTGCAGAATAAAAGGCAAAAAAACCCTAAAACTGCCCCCAAAAGTCAGTTTCTTTTGCTGGTGCTTTCATCAGCACCACTTGGGTCCTCTCTTGCGCTTACAGGGCTTTGTTATATTCAGCTCAATGCTCTTGGTGCTACAGGCCATAAACTGATCTGTACGGGTCTACACGGGCCTGTATGGGTCTGCACAGATCTATGGTGGGGGCTCTGGGGGGTTCTGTGGGTGTCTGGGCAAACTGGTGACACTGGGAAGGGTTTATGCCACCCTCCAGCAGGATTCGGGTTAAATCTGGGTGATTTTAGGGATATTTTGGAAGCAGTTTCCTCCCCACGTCCGCTGCTGGTGCTGAATAGAGCATATTTTCACTTAAAAGGGGGACGAAGTGGGATTTTGGGGCATTATCAGCACTTTCCCCTTGATACAACAGCATGGAGCCCCTCTGACATTAACCAGAAACCCCTCATTTTGGGAGTTTCTTCCCCAGATAGGTACTATTTTGAGGTGGAAAATCCCCCATTTTCCAGAGCTGCTTCCTCAGGGACAGTCCTCAAAATGGGACAAACTTCCCCCAAACCTTAACCGGTTTGCAGTGGAACTGTATTTTGGTGCAAAATACACCCAAATTGGAGTCTTCGGGGTATAAAAGTGTCTTTTGAACCCCGTTTTTCTGAATACCCGCCCGTTATTAATCCGAGAAGTTGGTCGGGCGGGGGGGGGGGGGCAGTCCTCACGCAGGTCAGCGCTTCCCGCGCTTTGCTGGGAGCGCAGTTCTCACTCAGGTCCGCTTCGAGGAAGTCTGCGGGAGGGCGGTGCGCGGGGAGGAGCAGCCAATGGGAAGCCGCAGTGGTAGGGCAAGGAGCCAATCAGAGAGTGCCGAGGCTTACAGCGGCAGTGTGCTAGGGTTGGTGGGAGCGGTGAGGGTGGGAAGGTGCGGGCGAGGCAGAAGGCTGAGGTTAAAAGAATAAACCGAAAACGCTCCTGCAGCCCCAAAATGCATCTGCCTCCGTCCTGGGGTCTGTCGTTGCGGGAAAGGGTCCGTCACTCGTGGAGAAAACACCTGAAGCTGTTCCGTGAGGCCTCTTTTCACAGGGTGGTGCAAGGTTTATTTGTCATCCGAAAGGGTTTTGGGGTTCATGGATGGGGCTGCTGTGGAGGCTCTGCTCGAGGAATGAGGGCTTTGTACGCCCCATGATAAACGATCTGCCACACGAGTTGCTGATGTGAGGCTGGTGAGGTGTCTTTGCTTGAAAAGAAGCTGATTCCCCTCCTGCCCAGCAGTGGAGAGTCAGCTCTGGGCCTGCTGAGTTACATAGGAAGGGGATTTTTTTGTTGTTTAAACTTTATTTTTTTGCACAGACTTTCAAATCGTATCTTCATAAAGCTTTTCAGGTGACAAGTGGATGGAACAGAGTGTTGGAAGCTTGTCCATTGGAGCAGGACACTGCAAAAGAAGCATTCTGATTTTCCCTCGATGTCATGTAAGCATTGCCAAACCTTGTGCCGTAACCAGCTCTTGCCTTTTGAGGACAATATCACCTATGACCTCCTTTACCAAATGGAGAAACAACTAATTACACACTTAGCTGGGCTGTAATTTTGGTTTAGGGGAGATCTGTGGGTTTGTCAGGTGCCTTATTTAAAATTAGGGCCCTGGAGATGAAAGCAGCTGTCCTCTCTGCTGCCTTTCCTGGTGGTTTCTCTTCTTCCTTAGGCTGACGTTACAAGTCTCTGGGGACAGGGAGGCAAATCCGGCGGCAAAGACAGAGCAATTTGGGCTGTAAGAGGAAGAGACCTGCCTGGTCCTGCCTGTACTGCCTGATAACAGTGCTTTATTATGTGGTTTAACCATAGTAACAACTTCCTGTTGTATCAAGATGCTGAGTTGTTTATTTATTTCCCTTTCTATTCATTTCTAGGTGGTGAAACAGCGAATGAAATCCCGCCCGTGGCCTCTTTCCCTGCTCACATCCTGGCTGCGATTGCAAAACCACAGGGAGGCCCCGTACCGAGTGATCCCGGGAGGCACAAGAAGCAGTTTTAGGCCCTAAATTCTCTACAAATCCTAAGCAGAAACTTCTCTGCTGGCAAAACCTTCCTACAAGACGTAGGAAGCAGCAGCAGCAAAGCCATTTTTTTCCTCAAACTGAGCTCTTCTAACTCTTTTAGGGAAGGTTCTCCCCAGTTTTCTGGGTCATGCTTCCATCGATAAATCCCCTTAATAGATACAGACTCGCCCCTATGCGAGGAGGGACTGGAAAGGGGGGGGGGGGGGGGGGTGTTGGGTGAGCCGACAGTCACCGCGGGAGAGCGGATCGGAAAGATCCATTCTGATTGGTTGAAATCTGCCAGCCAATAAGAAGCCTCAGTGCGTCCGACGGCCAATAGGAAGAGGCATTTGTGATCCCACTCCCTCTATTCACACCCTGCGGCGGATCTCCGGAGTGCGGTGGAGCAAAGCCCGAGGCAGCGAGACGGGGCGATCCAGGAGGAATCGGAAGAAAATAAGTCCGTAAGTTTGATCTCCAGCAGCAACTCTTGGGTAACAAAAAAGCAAAAGCAAAAAACTCCAAACCGTGTATTTGAAAGCGTTTTTTTTTTCTCTGATCTATCTGCGAGAATGAGGTTAATTAGCAGAGCACAAGATTTCAAGATTAATTATTTTTTTTATGTTTCAGGCCGTTTCCAAGGAGGATCTTAACTTTCAGGAGACTTCACCTCTGCAAGAGACAGCAGCTGGCGAGACCAGAGCTGTGCTAGACATAAATACTTTTCCAGAAATTGACAGGTTTTGGTGTTTAGTCTAACTTATTTGCATCTGTACTCACAAATCTTAAAGGAAACCACTGCTCATACCTCGTTTAACTTCTATTTTCTGTTTATAAACAGCTTTCAGAGCTGCAGAACCGTGGTGCCACCGCTCGTTGCACCTGCTTAACATTCCTGGATGATTTTATGCTTTTTAGGCTGCTTTTTTAAACATAGTTTCTCTAGGGCTTGGCTAAGGGGACACGAAGGAACATTGGGAGGGGGGTGAGTGAACCCCGCTCTGGCGGGGCAGGTCTTTTTGAGGGCAAAAGCCCCATTTTGGAGCCGGAGGAAGGTGGGGGGGGTGCAGAGGCGCGTGGAGGTTGGTTCGGTCGCGTCCGTCAGAGAGGGGAGGGGGCGTGGGAACGGAGCGGTTGATTCGGGCGCGTCCGTCATAGAGGGGAGGGGGCGTGGGAACGGAGCGGTTGATTCGGGCGCGTCCGTCATAGAGGGGAGGGGGCGTGGGAACGGAGCGACTGTTTCGGTAGCGTCCGCCGCCGGCCTATATAAAGGGCCACAGAGCGGCGCTGTTTCACAGTTGGGCGGCGGCAGCTGACGGAGCAGGAGCGGCGCGGAGCAGAGCGGGCGGAGCGGAGCAGAGCGGGCGGAGCGGAGCAGAGCGGGCGGAGCAGTGCCTCGGAGCTAGCGGTCCGACCATGCCTCGGGGGAAAGTCAAGTCGCGGTCATCCACATCCAGCCTGCCGCTGCCGTCGAAGCGCGGGCGGTTGTCGCTATCGGATATTATTTTCCGCGCTGTCTCCTTTTCGGCGGCCCGTAGAGGTACCTCGTTAGTTGCCGTTAAGAAGATTCTTGCTGCCGAAGGGTATGACGTGCGCAGGAACAGACATCGTTTGAAAGCTGCCGTCAACTCGCTGATCAAGAAGGGACTCATTGAGCGAGTCACAGGCAGCGGCGCCTCCGGTTCGTTCCGCGTTGGTCTTGTAGGTAAGAAGCAATTAGATAAAAACAGGCGGCGCGGGAGGGCGGCCGGTAAATCCCGACGGCGGCGGCGGCGGGCCCGGAAGACGAAGGGGGGCAAGCGCGCGGTTAGAGCCACCGCTCAGCGGGTGAAGAAGCCGTCTAGACCGCGGGGAACGGCGAAGGCAGGGCCTGCAGCACAGAATAGTGTAGAGAACGCGGCCGGGAGAGGGGAGGAGGTGGCGGCGGCGGCGGCGGCGGCCGCCGAGGTCGCGGAAGCGGAGGTGGCTGTGGCTGAGGTTGCGATGGAGGGAGCTGCCGGGGATTCGGAGGCTCCGGGTGAACTGTTGTCAGGGTCGATGGAACAATAAACGTGGAGTTCAAAGTCTCTTATAAGAACTGGATGGGGAGGTTCAGTGGAGGAGCTGGTCATCGGTGCCGTTCAGAGGGTTGTGCCGGAGGGTAACTGCCGCCTCGTGTCATTGAAAGAGCTGCACCGAGGGACTGGGAAAACGAGGCGGCGTTAAAGGGCGTAGTGTGAGGGAAGGGTGAGCTGCCCCGCAGTGCTAAAAGAGCTGCACCGAGGGACAGGCGGGGCGCAGCAGGGGGAGTGCACTGAGGGGTGGGTGATGAGGGGTGGTCGCCGGCCTGTGTTATCAAAGGAGCTGCACCGAGGGACAGGCGGGGCGCAGGGGGAGTGCACTGAGGGGTGGGTGATGAGGGGTGGTCGCCGGCCTGTGTTACCAAAGGAGCTGCACCGAGGGACAGGCGGGCGGCGGTGGGAGGGCTGCGCCGGGGGTTGTGTGTCTGGTGCCCCGTGTCACGAAAAGAGCTGCAGCGAGGGACAGACGGGGCGCAGCGGGGGGTGCGAGATGGGCTGGGGCACCATAAAAAACAGGTCCGGGGTTGAGGGAATCGCTGCCCCGTATCAGTAAAAGAGCTGCACCGAGGGAAAGCCGGGGCGCAGCGGGGGGGTGGGGGTGTGCACTGAGGGGTGCGAGGTGGGCTGGGACAGCATAAAAAACAGGTCCGGGGTTGGGGGAATCGCTGCCCCGCATCAGTAAAAGAGCTGCACCGAGGGACCGGCGGGGCGGCGGTGGAAGGGCTGCGCCGCGGGGGGTGTGTCAGGTTCCCCGTGACACTGAGCGGGCTGCAGCGAGGAACTGTCGGGGCGGCGGTGAAAGGGCTGCGGGGGGGGGGGTGTGTGAGGGAGGGGGCCTGTGTCTGGTGCCCCGTGTCACTGAGCTGCACCGGGGGACTGGCGGGGCGCAGCATGGGGTGTGCACCGAGGGGTGGGTGATTGTGATCGCCGCCTCATGTCACTGAAAGAGCTGCACCGAGGGCCAGGCGGGGCGGCGGTGGAAGGGCTGCGGTGTGGGTTGTGTCTGGTGCCCCGTGTCACGAAAAGAGCTGCTCCGAGGGACAGACGGGGCGCAGCGGGGGGTGCGAGATGGGCTGGGGCAGCATAAAAAACAGGTCCGGGGTTGGGGGAATCGCTGCCCCGCATCAGTAAAAGAGCTGCACCGAGGGACCGGCGGGGCGGCGGTGGAAGGGCTGCGCCGCGGGGGGTGTGTCAGGTTCCCCGTGACACTGAGGGGGCTGCAGCGAGGGACTGTCGGGGCGGCGGTGAAAGGGCTGCGGGGGGGGGGGGGCGGTGACTGAGGTGGCTTGTGTCTGGTGCCCCGTGTCACTGAGCTGCACCGGGGGACTGGCGGGGCGCAGCATGGGGTGTGCACCGAGGGGTGGGTGATTGTGATCGCCGCCTCATGTCACTGAAAGAGCTGCACCGAGGGACAGGCGGGGCGGCGGTGGAAGGGCTGCGGTGTGGGTTGTGTCTGGTGCCCCGCATCAGAAAAAGCTGCACCGAGGGACAGACGGGGCGCAGCGGCAGGGGTGCGAGCTGGGCTGGGCCAGCATAAAAAACAGGTCCGGGGTTGGGGGAATCGCTGCCCCGCATCAGTAAAAGAGCTGCACCGAGGGACAGGCGGGGCGGCGGTGGGAGGGCTGCGCAGGGGGTTCTGTGTCTGGTGCCCCGTGTCACGAAAAGAGCTGCAGCGAGGGACAGACGGGGTGCACTGAGGGGTGCGAGCTGGGCTGGGCCAGCATAAAAAACAGGTCAGGGGTTGGGGGAATCGCTGCCGCGCATCAGTAAAAGAGCTGCACCGAGGGACCGGCGGGGCGGCGGTGGAAGGGCTGCGCCCGGGGGGTGTGTCAGGTTCCCCGTGACACTGAGCGGGCTGCAGGGAGGAACTGTCGGGGCGTCGGTGACAGCGCTCCGGGGCGGGGGGGGTGAGGGATGGGGCCTGTGTCTGGTGCCCCGTGTCACTGAGCTGCACCGGGGGACTGGCGGGGCGCAGCACGGGGTGTGCACCGAGGGGTGGGTGATTGTGATCGCCGCCTCATGTCACTGAAAGAGCTGCACCAGGGACCGGCGGGGCGGCGGTGGAAGGGCTGCGCCGCGGGGGTGTGTCAGGTTCCCCGTGACACGAGCGGGCTGCAGCGAGGGACTGCCGGGGCGGCGGTGAAAGGGCTGCGGGGGGGGGCGCGAGGGAGGTGGCTTGTGTCGGCGCCCCGTCCACTGAGCTGCACGGGGACTGGCGGGGCCAGCATGGGTGTGCACCGAGGGGTGGGTGATTGTGATCGCCGCCTCATGTCACTGAAAGAGCTGCACCGAGGGACAGGCGGGGCGGCGGTGGAAGGGCTGCGGTGTCCCCAACCACGAGGGACAGGCGGGGCGCAGCGGGGGGGTGTGCACTGAGGGGTGCGAGATGGGTTGGGGCAGCATAACCCCCCAAAAACCCCAACACCCAACCGGGTTGTGTCTGGTGCCCCGTGTCACGAAAAGAGCTGCACCGAGGGACAGACGGGGCGCAGCGGGGGGTGCGAGCTGGGCTGGGCCAGCATAAAAAACAGGTCCGGGGTTGGGGGAATCGCTGCCCCGCATCAGTAAAAGAGCTGCACCGAGGGACCGGCGGGGCGGCGGTGGAAGGGCTGCGCCGCGGGGGGTGTGTCAGGTTCCCCGTGACACTGAGCGGGCTGCAGGGAGGAACTGTCGGGGCGGCGGTGAAAGGGCTGCGGGGGGGGGGGGCGGTGACTGAGGTGGCTTGTGTCTGGTGCCCCGTGTCACTGAGCTGCACCGGGGGACTGGCGGGGCGCAGCACGGGGTGTGCACCGAGGGGTGGGTGATTGTGATCGCCGCCTCATGTCACTGAAAGAGCTGCACCGAGGGCCAGGCGGGGCGGCGGTGGAAGGGCTGCGGTGTGGGTTGTGTCTGGTGCCCCGTGTCACGAAAAGAGCTGCTCCGAGGGACAGACGGGGCGCAGCGGGGGGTGCGAGATGGGCTGGGGCAGCATAAAAAACAGGTCCGGGGTTGGGGGAATCGCTGCCCCGCATCAGTAAAAGAGCTGCACCGAGGGACCGGCGGGGCGGCGGTGGAAGGGCTGCGCCGCGGGGGGTGTGTCAGGTTCCCCGTGACACTGAGCGGGCTGCAGCGAGGGACTGTCGGGGCGGCGGTGAAAGGGCTGCTGGGGGGGGGGGCGGTGACTGAGGTGGCTTGTGTCTGGTGCCCCGTGTCACTGAGCTGCACCGGGGGACTGGCGGGGCGCAGCATGGGGTGTGCACCGAGGGGTGGGTGATTGTGATCGCCGCCTCATGTCACTGAAAGAGCTGCACCGAGGGACAGGCGGGGCGGCGGTGGAAGGGCTGCGGTGTGGGTTGTGTCTGGTGCCCCGCATAAGTAAAAGAGCTGCACCGAGGGACAGGCGGGGCGCAGCGGGGGGTGCGAGATGGGCTGGGGCAGCATAAAAAACAGGTCCGGGGTTGGGGGAATCGCTGCCCCGCATCAGTAAAAGAGCTGCACCGAGGACAGGCGGGGCGGCGGTGGAGGGCTGCGCAGGGGGTTCTGTGTCTGGTGCCCCGTGTCACGAAAAGAGCTGCAGCGAGGGACAGACGGGGTGCACTGAGGGGTGCGAGCTGGGCTGGGCCAGCATAAAAAACAGGTCCGGGTGGGAATCGCTGCCGCGCATCAGTAAAAGAGCTGCACCGAGGGACCGGCGGGGCGGCGGTGGAAGGGCTGCGCCCGGGGGGTGTGTCAGGTTCCCCGTGACACTGAGCGGGCTGCAGGGAGGAACTGTCGGGGCGTCGGTGACAGCGCTCCGGGGCGGGGGGGGGGGGTGAGGGATGGGGCCTGTGTCTGGTGCCCCGTGTCACTGAGCTGCACCGGGGGACTGGCGGGGCGCAGCACGGGGTGTGCACCGAGGGGTGGGTGATTGTGATCGCCGCCTCATGTCACTGAAAGCTGCACCGAGGGACAGGCGGGGCGGCGGTGGAAGGGCTGCGCCGCGGGGGGTGTGTCAGGTTCCCCGTGTCACTGAGCGGGCTGCAGGGAGGAACTGTCGTGGCGGAGGTGAAAGGGCTGCGGGGGGGGGGGGGGGCGGTGACTGAGGTGGCTTGTGTCTGGTGCCCCGTGTCACTGAGCTGCACCGGGGGACTGGCGGGGCGCAGCATGGGGTGTGCACCGAGGGGTGGGTGATTGTGATCGCCGCCTCATGTCACTGAAAGAGCTGCACCGAGGGACAGGCGGGGCGGCGGTGGAAGGGCTGCGGTGTGGGTTGTGTCTGGTGCCCCGTGTCACGAAAAGAGCTGCTCCGAGGGACAGACGGGGCGCAGCGGGGGGTGCGAGATGGGCTGGGGCAGCATAAAAAAACAGGTCCGGGGTTGGGGGAATCGCTGCCCCGCATCAGTAAAAGAGCTGCACCGAGGGACCGGCGGGGCGGCGGTGGAAGGGCTGCGCCGCGGGGGGTGTGTCAGGTTCCCCGTGTCACTGAGGGGGCTGCAGCGAGGGACTGTCGGGGCGGCGGTGAAAGGGCTGCTGGGGGGGGGGGCGGTGACGAGGTGGCTTGTGTCTGGTGCCCCGTGTCACTGAGCTGCACCGGGACTGGCGGGGCGCAGCATGGGGTGTGCACCGAGGGGTGGGTGATTGTGATCGCCGCCTCATGTCACTGAAAGAGCTGCACCGAGGGACAGGCGGGGCGGCGGTGGAAGGGCTGCGGTGTGGGTTGTGTCTGGTGCCCCGCATCAGGAAAAGCTGCACCGAGGGACAGGCGGGGGGCAGCGGGGGGGTGCGAGATGGGCTGGGGCAGCATAAAAAACAGGTCCGGGGTTGGGGGAATCGCTGCCCCGCATCAGTAAAAGAGCTGCACCGAGGGACCGGCGGGGCGGCGGTGGAAGGGCTGCGCCGCGGGGGGTGTGTCAGGTTCCCCGTGACACTGAGCGGGCTGCAGCGAGGAACTGTCGGGGCGGCGGTGAAAGGGCTGCGGGGGGGGGGGGGTGAGGGAGGGGGCCTGTGTCTGGTGCCCCGTGTCACTGAGCT